GTATGTCCGCTGTGTATGTATGTTTCATCTAAATAAACGATTGGTTTATTTTGACTTCTAAAATATTTTATTTTTTCCACCAAAACTTTACGATTATTTTGTGTTTTTCTCCATTTAAATTGTAATTTTTTAAGGACTCTTCTTAATGAAGTTTCTGATATGTGGATGTCTGAATCTTCCTTAATTTTATTATTTAACCTTTTAACAGTAACACGAGACTTTTCTGTTATATGAAAATCGTAAATTATTCTTCGAATGTCCCTCAATAATTGATATTCATGGAGATTCGTAGCGGTTGATTTTTTGACGAAGTTTTTCCTAGGTGTGGTAAATGTAATTTTTCCAGTTGTTTCCATTGACTGTTTACCTTCCTTCAAAATTCTTTTAACGGTAGTATAAGAAACACCTGTAAAAACGTAATATTATATTAATGTTAAATTTAGTATTTTTTTTTTACATTTATTAGGAAACAAAAATTTTTAGAAACAGAAGATAAATTTTAAAAATTTAAATATAAAATATTAATTCAAAAATAAAATGCATAGATATGTGTAAAATACAAAAAAATATGGAAAACTACGCAAGTTTAATTGCAAATAAACTACAGAATATGTTTACCTGTTGCTTGTGCAGTTTGATATCATCTAAAGTAACTCCTTCCTTTTTTGTTGCGTCAAAATATTTAAAAACATTGTCCGTTAATAACAGATCTGTGCTTTTTTTTTTTTTCACCCACAATAGAAGACATTATCAAAAATAAAACCAGTCATTTTAACCAAAACACAGAAACAAGTAACAAATAATGATCTAGTCGTTACGCTACTGACCGTAAGCAAGGACAAGGTTCAAATTGTGAATGGGCGTGGCGATTTTTAAGTAAACGAACTTGAGCATTTGCGCTGGTTCTTTAGATATGGCGTTTACTGTATAAGGTCTGTTCGGGTTCTTTAAAAATACATTGAGAACTATCAGTTTAATAGTCGTAGATTTGGCGTTTACAATAGCAAATTTTATTCACACTCAAATTCGCCTTGATAGTAAAAGGATGATGCTTCAACTTCACTTTATTTGCCACTCCAAGTCGCAAAATTTTTATAAAGTTCTTGAGCACTATACATGTTGATTTTGTTTTAGAAAATAGACAAATTATATGATGCGGCGTTAATGTACTGTTATAAAAAAATAAAATGAAATGCATTTTATTTTAAGTTGGAAATTAATGCAAAAATACAATGAAGTAAAATCAAATAAAAATATAAATTGGCAAAATAGTTGACTAGTTTCAAATAATATAACAGTCAATATGGTTGTTTTATTATTTGAAACTAATCAAATATTTTTTCAATTAATTTTTTTGTTTGATTTTCTTTAAATTTTTGAACAGCTAGCAAAAAGTTTAATTTCAAAAAGTCCACCCCTGGCGACCATATTAAATTTAGTACCACTCCAATTTGATAGATGGCAGCACATCGCCTTAGAACTTTACCATCAAAAACAATATAATTTTTTTTCGATTTATGGCCTAGGTGTATATACCTAATATGCCAGTTTCAAGTTTATGTTTAAATTCTCAAACATGTGTGTTCTGTGTAGGCTTTGTTACTGTTTCCCAGTGCCACTTCAGGAACAGCACTGTTAATTAGAACCCAACAACTAGCAGAAAGTTAAATTTCAAAAAGTCCGCCCCTGGCGACCATATTAAATTTAGTACCACTCCAATTTGATAGATGTGTTGCAGCACATCGTCTCAGAATTTTACCATCAAAAACAATATAATTTAGGTTAACAAAACGCCCTAAAAAAAATGTCACTGTAATTGTCAGTGAAACCAAAATTATGTCGTCACTATAATTTAGCGTATTGAAATCAGAACGCCGTTCAGGAGGATAAAGGGTTAAATCAATAAAAATATTTTTATTAAAAAAACAATTTATTTAAAAAAGTTATCGTTTTAACAATATAAATTTATATACATTTATGTATACATACAAATTTGTAAAGAAACTTAAAGATCTATAATCTCGGTTTTGAGAAAATAACATTAAATATACAAGTATTGTACCCACCTACAACCGCAAGTACCATGTTTGCTCAATTTATTATGGCTGTTTTAATCATTTGTTTTTTTTTTCCCTCATGTCACCCTAGGACACTTACGGATCAAGAGTGGTGGCATTCCATCTAACAACATTTGAGAGTTCTACCTTACTCGTTCACAAACATCTCTATTCACAAACGACATCGTCCAATTCTACTTTTTCTCTGAATTCACATTGCCGTTTCTATAATCAAATATTTACCAGCAAGTAATTATTTAAAAATGCATGGAGAATGCTCTTATTTATGAATTATTGATTTAAGATAATATGAAAATACGCAATTTAATCCTTTTCACTAAAAACCACAATAAATTAGCAACTCGAATGACTATTACTGTTTTAGCCACAATTACTAAGTACTTTTATGGTTGAGCGGTACAAATTTATGGTAATATCAATATTTTATTAAAAAAATATGTTTATATGTCAAATACTGTATCAGCAAGTCCATTTTATTACTCTGTGTACTTTGTATTACCTACCAGGGAGCCTATTCTCCAACTATGGGAAAATGAGTGTGAGAGTACTCTCTCACGATTTGGCCTTGCTATGCATGTCAGTCGACTAAAATTATAAGGAATCATGTCAACAGCGAGAGCAGTGTTTCAAGACATATCATAATTATCGTATTTGTATGATATACTAAAAAATTGCCCAATTTTTCGGAATTTTTATTATCCAACTTACGAACTAGATTGAATTTCTGTTGCATACACACGTTTAATGCGTTTAATATTTTTGTAATATATTATTACATGCACAAAATTAAAAATATTTTTAATTACAGATGATTCACAAATGCGACGGTAGTTTTTTTTGCAAAATTTCACTAATTCTAGTGTGACGTCAGGGAATAATTTTTTTCAAAAAGTACTACTTGATATGGTTTTTGTCGACCAGATATTGCACAATACACATTTCTTATACAGGGTGCTTTATAGTGAAAACTACAAAATAATTTTTTTTAAGGATTACTTCAAAATTGTGTACTTATGAATTGTTTTTTGGGAAAAGTAATATCACTAAAATATGCGTACCTCTAAGCTTCACAATATACAAGGCGGCTATTTGTTAGAAGATATTCTATTTTAATAAAAGTACAAAAACCACAAACACCCTAAACTTTCCCAGGTCAAATGTAACCATTTTCTCGGTATATAATAATTTTAACACCATTTTAAGAGTTATGTATTTTAAATCCGATACTATGACTAGTTATCGAGATACATGGCGGCGTTCAAGTGGAGAATTGTTGATTTTAGTTTATTTTTTTTAAACTTAAAAACTAGATTGCCTTTATATACAATATATAAATTGAATATAAGTTATGAGGAGATGTCCAATACGAGGGAGAGTTTAAAACAGTTGCGGCTCGTGACCAAAATATTGGTAGTTCACAATGACAGAATATAGATATCAGTACAGATGTGGGTAAAAATCTTTTAGTGTTTTAGAAAGGTATAGGCACAGAAAGGTATATTATAATACCGAAGACTCTGAAAGTTTTTTTTACCTACATCTGTACTAATACATATCTATATTCTGTCATTGTGAACCCCCAATATTTTGGGCACCCGCCGCTAATGGTTTAAAATAATTGTTATGGGGTGCTTCTCGAATAAATCACAATAATAATATATTTTTGCAAACACTGAATAACTATAGTTGCGTCACAGAAATTATTTCATTAATTTTTTTTATACAGGATGAGCCATCCAGCCAACCACCAAAAAATAATTATGTTTTAAAATTATTAAACCCTTGCATTTCACAGTGCTTGGGAACCAACTTTAAATGAACAGTTTATTTACTACTTTTTTTGGGGTCAAAGTATTTCTGAAGGGCTATAGATTGGCGCAATATATTTTTTAAAATCGGATCCAGCAGCCGTTTTTGAGAAAACTCGATTTTTAATAAAAAAGTGACCTTTTTTTTACTTTTTTGCTTGTAACTTGCGCATTTCACATTTTCTCGGCTTGCCAAAAGTAAATTTCAATGGGAAAATGTCCGCTCTACAAAAAAGCATCAATGACTTTTTCTCTAAAATCAGCCGATTTTGAGTTAAATGAGATCATTTAATTCAAAATCGGCTGATTTTCATTTAAAGTTGGTTCCCAAGCACCGTGATTTCTTTAGTGACTTGAGTAAGTTAATATCATTACATTAGGTAGGTATGTAATCATAAGATTTTAGAGGAAATGTATAATATTTTGTTGCCAAAATACCGTATTGTGTAGTATTTTTTAAAAATATGCTTCCCTGACGTCACAGTAAAATTAGTGAGATTTTGAAAAAATTACCATCATACATTTGTGAATAACCCTGTAACTAAATATATTTTTAATTATACGTATGTACTAATGTATTACTAAAACATGTAGTAATGTGTGTATATACAAAAGATATTTACACTTTTGGTTACTAGGTTGAGTACAGTAACATACTAAAGTTTCAGAAATTTGACCGGTCTCCACTTTACGTAAGGAAATACGTGCGGGGTTCTTTGGATAATGGATGTGTAAGTTTTAAACCTACATATGAAATAATGATAAAATTCATGACATCTTTAAAAATGTATAGAAAAAAACAATTGAGAGATCAAAATCAGACAGGATTACATGATTACAAGAAAAATAAATTATTTTTGTTGTCTGGCAACACTGGTGATGAAGCAGTCGACTCGCCGTCGAGTAGGAGAGTGTAGGAACGTTCTCATGAGTTCGAGAATAGGGTACCAGATAGATCGTAAAAAGACATTAATGGTTCCCCTACAACAACGCGGTGGACTCGCGGCGACCATTAGCGTTGGTCCGAGGTGCCTTAATGATTAAGTAAATAAACAAAATTTGTCCTAAATGGACTTATGGTACTATTTTATTCTTAAACTAGGAAAGAGAGGGGATGCACAACTCCGAACTCCAATACGCCATAAAAGTGTGAAGTAATTTTGGTTCCACTGACAGTTAATTCTAACCAAACTTTTAACAATTGACATATGTTTTTACTGTGTTTATTTTTATTAAATATCGTTTGCTGGTCATAAAAAGTAGTTTAAAGGTATGTAATTGGTTACTAAATGATTATATACTTGATACTTTGTTTAAAATTGTTATTTTGGCAGATATGTTATCTATTTACTCTAGAAATATATTTATACAAATTTAAAAACTTAATAATTTAGGTTATTCAAAACGAACAAAACGCACTCAAAACAATACTGTCACTGTAGTTGTCAGTGGAACCAAAATTACGTCATCACTAATTTAGCATATATGCGATTGTTTTGCACGGAAGACAAAATGTATCTTTCTCTGTCTAAGGTTTAGACAGTGGCGTAACCAGAAGTGAATGAAATGAGCAATGTCTCGATTTTAATAATCCAAATAAAATGTCTTTCTGGATATTTCAGAGGAAATCTAAAATAGATAATTAGTAATAAAAATATGTAAACAAATTCTGTGAAAATGAATAAACTATTTTATAACTATCATTATATATTTCGATAATATATTCAACATTTTCAAGGTTTTAACGAATGAGAATATCAATGTGTACCCTCAAATTTTGATAAATTATTTTTCGGGTTATATTACGATCAGACTAAGTACGACTCATTTGAAATATTAACCAATTAGTATTACAGTCGTGTTATTAACTTGTCCAATATACATTGTGGATTGGTACTGCATGTATTTCTATCTCGGTTATTATAAGAGATACAAAAATCGGTCAAACGGGCAATGTTTTTCAGGATTTTATTACCATTTCAAAACTGTTTCAGAATTATTTAAAAAACGAAGAACAATAATTGATAAAATTTAATATCAGTTCTGAATTGGTAATCAAAATATTGTCTATTTAACCGAGATACCAGCACCAATCCGGGACACACTGAGTTTTACCTGTGAAATGCAATTTTAGAGGCATAAGCTGAACACACTACCATTGTATTAACTTAATAATATAACTGTACAGCTAAAAATACGAACGCAAATGACTCCACTCGATATGTCTATCGCCTATCGATATGTTAACAGTCCTCTGTTCGGTCTAAATTACACGTCCCCTCTCTTTTCTAGTCTAAGATTTTATGATATACAAATTTACAGGTAAAAAATTTACAAACAAAAGTTTAACAATTAACTAGATATTAGTTATTTCCTAACAGCGGAGTAAAATCGGTTTAATTTTTTTTAGCAAGAAAGAATAAAAAAAACTAAAAACATCGATTTATCCACTGGTTTAGCCTAGAATATCTAAAGTTCTTTTGGTAGTTGGCCAAACCATTACAAAAATACAATCTTTAAGTAGTGGCCATATGGGTGGTAGTAGGATGAATGATCGATAAAAAATATTTATGATCAAATCTTTTTTAAATCGTTATTATGGCGATTAAAAGTATATGTGAATGGACACGCCTCTATTTTCCTGGAATGCACTGAATTTTATTAACAAAACACACCAAAATTGACAGGCAACAAAACACGAGCCGCCATTTTAATTTAAAAAACTCAAGCTGCTAGAATATGGAAGAATTCAGATTTCTGGAAAAACGAACATGTTTTAGGCCGTATATCAATCCAGCCCACTAATTTAAACAGGCTATATCTACATAGAAATGAATTAGTTGAGCAATGTATTTAATAAACGCATCAAAATTTTTATTAACGGGCCATATTTTAACTAAAAATCACCTGTCTACCACAAATATTTTACAATTATATGTCAGGCAGTGGATCGCAAAAGTTACATAATATTCATAGAAAAAGTTACCTCGGAAACACATACTGTGTCAGCCCTAAAGACCTGTTTCCCACTGTGCAAGTCACAGTATCCATGATTACAATGCATTCTGTATTAAAAATTGCTAAAAATATTACATACTATGGCCTTAGTCAAATGTGTATAAAAGTCTGTGGCAAATGGACCATTTCGATGCCAACGCACCCCTCCTCACACACTATATGTACAGTAATTTGCAAATGGCTAAGTCCAATGAGTGTCCTGAAAGTAGATTTAAAAAAAAACTGCCAAAGCTATTGAGACTGACATTGAACAACACAAAGACAAAATCATTGAGACAAAAAAACTAATAAAAGCAATAGAAATAATAAATGAAGAAGCTAGATAATTTGAAATAGAAATAAACTAGAACAAAATAAAATATATAAAAGTAGGAAGAGAAGAAAGCAATAAGCAGAAATACCTAAGAACAGAAACGGATTCTTAAAGAAAACCAAGCCTATGGTAGAAACAGAAATATTCTAAAAACTAAAACCGAAACAGCAACAATAAATAAAAAAGAAGACCTAAAAATAGTAAAGAAGAAAATATTGAAAGTCATACTAGGCCCAAATTTAATGAAAAATGAAGACTAAAAACCAATAAAGAAAGATGAACTTACGAGGCGAAACATTCATCGTCTGAAGTGGGTAGGACATATAATGAGGAGAAATAGACAGACTTGTTAAAAATATAAGAAATAACGTATTCACTGTGAACGAGGCGAAGAGGAAGAATGAGGAAAAGATAGCGAGATGATATAGAAAATGATACAAGAATACTAGAATAACAGACCTAAATGCAAAAATATGGATGAGTGGAGAAAAATAATGTATGAAGCAAGGATCTACCAAAATTTGTAACATACTTAAAAAATTGATTTAAATATTGAATGGCTGTATAATGATAACGAAGTATTCTAAAATAATTAATTAAAAAAAAAACTTGTCAACTGTCAAATCGAAGCAAATCGCTTTGGCTGTGTAAAATTTATTATGGGACTCAGTGTATATTTCTTTAACACCGCCTTTTCTAACACTCGTGTTTCTTCAAGTAATTAGTAACTATCTATATAATGAGGTATAAGTAAGTTGAATACTACAATTTTATCATGTAAACGTAAAAAGTTTTTTTTTATCAAACTTCTGTTTGATACTGAATGTACAAATTCACTAATAATGGGCACAATATTGAGTATGATTGAATAAAAAACTAAAATATATAATATTAAAGCCCTGAATGAATATCGGTTGGCGATCTTGAGTTTACTAACGAATTATTTGCGTTTTTATTAAACATATCTTCTCGTTGATCTCTGAAAAAAAAAAAGTATAAAAATTTAAAAAAAGTTACAAGTTATAAAAAAAACTTACTTGAAAAATGGCAATTGCTGCTCCAATAAAATTCGACTATTGCAAGAAGATAATTCAGGCCAATGCGCAATAATTCTTCTCAAGTATATTTGAAAACGTTTCCTCCTATCTTCGACCACGTAAGACTCCTAAAATATTTGTCAAGTAAATCGGCTAATTAGCAACAAAATGAAGATTGGAGAAAAATAAATACCTATTTTATACAGGATTTTTGCACAAAACTTTTAGTGAAAAACAGAGTGAAAGATTTCATCAAGAAATTAAAACTGTGGAAGAATGACTAACAAACAACAGTACATTGTGAGCGATATAGGGGACTATTCTGTAACTATAGTTGTTATCTGGCAACTTTCTAACCACTTGCTATCTTACCAATTTCATAACAACTGTATATAATAACTTTGACACAAGTAGCTATTCTAGTATTCACGATTGCTAAATTAGTCTATGCTGTATCATACAGTTATGCTACCGACCAAATTGCTATGATCAAGGTCAGTTGTTTTATTAACACTTTGAGAAAATCAGAATTCTCTAAGTAAAATCTGTAACAACTAGTGGTTGATTACAAAAGTGGATTCAGAGTTATTTGGAAGCAACCAAATATTCTTGATGGTTAAGCGTAACAACTAGTTGCTAAAAAATAAATATTATGGACCCTGGATAATAAATATTTTAATAGACCAAGAAATTAATGGAAGGTATATTATTTCCTCTAATGGTTTGATTTAGGAATGAAGTAAGATTTCAGCAAAGGGTATACTATTTCTTGCGATCTGTATATGTAAGGAGAGGTAACCATCCATGTCACTTAGGCCTCAATAGTCCCATTGTGCATCCTTCAGAGGAATTTAAGATCTGCCTCTCAGCTCTTCAAAACATCTGCTGGTTGATATATAACGTCACTGAGAGCCGTATATAGGAACCACCTCTTAGAGCATCAAAAGGTCTGCATAAAATTGCATATTAAATTTTTCTGTCTTGATTAAAGTTTACAGCTACGACATATACGAGTATATGACCTTTTTTTTTTAATTTCAAATCAGTCCACCAACAAAATATAAAAAGTTACAAATGATAAAGTATATTTCAGTTAACGTCCATAGCCGGGAGATATAAACCTCATTGGTCCCGTTCCTCCTGACTTGAAGGTTAAGTTGTTAAAAGCCTGGTTTACACCACACATAAAACTTTATAGCAACTGTGAATACTAGAATAGCTACTTTTGTCAAAGTTGTTATACGGTTACTATAAAAATAATGCAACTTGTAAGTAGATCAGGCTTTTAACAACTTAACCTTCGACTCGGAAGTGCCGGGACGTCGAGTGAAGTGTAATTTTATCATTTGGAAATGGTTACATTTTGTTGGTGGACTTGGTGGCTTGAAATTAAAAAAAAACTTAATACAGCAAAATGTATTAAAGGCACAGCGTCTGGAAAATGCACAATGGAGCTATTGAAGCCACTTTTGCTAGCTAGCAACTGCATGATACAGAATAGACTACATAATCATATTAAAATGTTATACACATTTACAGCAAAAAAGTTATAACATATCGTATACAATCGATAAAATATTTTATATATACGCTTGATCAATTTAAACCCATCTTTGGTCCATAAAAACTTTATTGGCAAAAATATATTTACAAATAACTGCTATAGCAATTAAGGCACATATATTCCATTGTTTCACCAACTGATGTATACCCTGCTCATAGAATTCTTGTGGCTGCTGCTTGAATAATTCTTTCACGGCGTTTTGTACTGCGTCCGACTGAAAACGGTTACCTTCTAACGCCTTTTTTCAGTGGCCAAAATATATAAAAATGCAAGGCGATGAATCTGGGCTATAGGGTGCATGCTCTAAAATCCTCCATTATTTTACTACGTTTGGCGACATGAGCATTGTCATGAAGCATAATTAAACTACATAAAAAGTACCTTGCGCCTTTTCGTTTTATTACTTGATGGAGTTTATTCAGTTTCATTATACAGATTTGCATTGATACACATTCTATCTTCTTGAAACCCTGTAAGCAAGGATCCTTCAAAAAAATGTTAACATCATTGCATGCAGAAAGTCGTGCTTTAAAACTTCTTTGAATGTTTGAATGTTTCCATTGCATCGATGACAGCTTACTGGATAATTCAAAATAATGACACCAAGTTCAGTCGCCAGCAATTATTGACAAGAGAAAATCATTACCATTTTGGGTGTACTCAGTGAGGTTTCGCAAAGACAAGCCCATTTGCAGGTATTTTTGGTCCTTAGAAAAAAGACGAGGAACCATTGCACACAAACTTTGGTGTAGCCCAGTTTGTGCACGATACAATAAACAGTTCCTGTACTTACACCAACATTTTCTGCAATTGTTTTGATTGAAACGCGACGATTTTCTCTAATCAGGACTTCCACACAAGCGATATTTCTGTCTGTTGATGCAGTTTTCAATGCATCTGGTCGCACCTTATCATTTGTCCCTTCTTTTCCATTTTTGAATTTTCGGCACCATTCTTGGATACTAAATACACGCGTTTCCATACACTGCTTGCATCCGCGTATGAATAAGCTTGGAAACGACCTTTGGATTATTTTTTAATAAAAAAGAGCAGTCTCCAACTTAAAGGAGGGCATGCTTTTGATAGGGAAATTCAATGTGGCAACGTTTCGTTTTAATTATGTTAATGACTAATTGTCAGAAGTGACATTTTCTTGTTATTGTTGATAACAAAAAAGTGTGAATCGTTTTCTTTTCAATTCGTTTATTATTTAATTAGTTAGCATATTTTTTTATTATATCGTTTTCTGTTCAGTTCGTTTATTATTTAATTAGAATATTTTTTTATTGCATCATTCTCTGTTCAATTCGTTTATTATTTCATTAGTTAGAATACCTTTTTATTTTTACACTTTTTGTATCTATATTCGATAATTTTACATGGCCCCAATAAAGTGTTTTGGGTGCGATGGGTACATCAATAAAAAAAAGTACTTCAAAGCCGCCAACAATGAAAACTACCGGCAGTTTCTACTGAATATTCGAGCACGCAGAGAAATTGACTGGGTAGAGCCTGTAGGAAACTACGTTTCGACGACAAGGTAGAGTAAAGCAATGTTTATAGTAGCAACATAATAAATCGTGTTTGTTTTTATTCCTAAGGCAACCTAATAACCAACAAGATCCTATTCCCATCATTGAAAATGTGTACAACGACGAGGTAGACATTGAAAATGGTGAAGGGAATGGTGAAAACATTAGAAATGTACCGCTTAAACTGCCAAATAATCAAAGATCTTGATGCATGTGCGGTGTTATTAGACGGCAGACATTTTGAGAATGGTTACTTTTCTGAAGAATCTGTTGCTCTATTGCGATTGTGGACTGCTCCTAGGCAGCTTACTCACGGTGACAATGAATGTTTAATTAATCTGTTCACTGATCTCGTAGTAGCTCTTGAAGAAAAAAGCAAGATATTCGATTTTGACAATCAAAATATGGATGACGACGATTGCAAGTGCTTAACCGGATTAAGTAAAGCACAGTTTGCAACGGTTGTAGGTAACTGCAATAACTTGACACGTAGAAGACAAGTTTCAAAAAAAAAAATGCGTAGTTATTTTTCTAATAAAATTGAGAAATGATCCAACTCAAAAAGTTTTAAGCAAGATGTTTGGTATGAAACCGAAGTAACAATATCTTATGAGCAAAATATTCCACGATGTTCTTAACTCACTTACAGCTCCCTTTGTTCATCTTAATCTTGGTTACCAACATATAACTCGTCAAGAATACGCTACTTATCACAGTACCACTACCTCAAATCGCTTGTGTCACGTTAATCCTGATTCATTGGTAGCTCTTGTTGATGCCACATACTTGTAGCACGAAAAACCTGTTGATCATCTTTCTCAGCGAATGACATAATTCTTTGCCAAAACGCTCGAATTTAGTTAAATTTTCGGTTGTAACAACACCAGACGGATATATTATTGATGTTTTTTCAAGAAGGTGGTGGCAGTGTATATGATCGCGGTTATCGAGACTCGATGCAGTTTTGCCAAAATATGGGACTAAATGTTTTTATTCACCTTTTCTTCCCAACGGCCAACGTCAACTAACTACTCAGCAAGCAAATGAATCAAGACTCATTACAATGGTCAGATGGGTAATTGAAGCTGTTTTTGGAAGACTTCAAAATAAGTTTCGGTTTCTAAGAAATGTGCCAAACAGTTGTGAAACATTTGGAAGCATTTTTAAAGTGATATGTGCTTTATCCAATGCGTTTTTTGTGCCTATAAATGAAAGTGGGCTTAATAATTTATTAGACAGAATTAGAGATGAACGCCTAATTCAAGGTAGAATTGATTGGCCGCTGGTAGACGGATTTATTGACTTTCAAGACCTCCCAATTTTATCGGAAGATGAAATTCAGGACTTAACACTCGGTACATACCAGATTCAATTATCGTACAGTTATACGTTATCACATCACATTTAAACAACGGCAACTATTTGGTAAGACTACATCGTCAACCTACGGCCGAAAAAGACAATACTCATCTGATAAATGCCTCAATACCTTCAAGGTTTCAAGCTGCTACCGAAAGAAAATGCTTTATTGAATATAACAGCCAACTAATTGGAGTAATCGCAATAACTGACTGGACATGTCTTTGTAAATCAGGTGCACGAGTTTTAGGAATGTGTGGACATGTATGCTCTGTAATATGGTTTTTGTCACACGGAAGGCATCAGTCAGGTATTCGTTATCCGTCAAGAGATATGGCAAATAATTTAAATGACGTGGCTATTGATAGACACCAATATCCAAAACTTAAAAACCGAAAAGAGTACAGTTACAGGTGATTGAATAGAAACAAAATCGCAAAAGTAAACCTTTCTGTTGGCTGATTTTTACTGACATCGATCTTTAATTATTTACCTTTATCGCCTGATTGTGCCTGATTTTAATGCTATCACACAGAACTTTTGAGATGTTCAAAACCTCGCCTAGTTTAAAACGCTTCTATAACACTCGACATTATCTGTCTTTCTTTCTCTCTGTATTTCGAGATAAGTCCATCACGCAGTCTGCTACACTAACTAGGTACTCATTTCCATAGTAACGTGGTCTTATTTGAATTGCCGTTACGTATGTATTACGTCGAAACCCTAGATACGCGCATATGCTTTGTTGCCAAAATGTTTATTTTATCATTATTTTCTCTTCAAAAACTCCGTCATAAAAGAGCTTTTTTGAAGATGTTCCGGAATGGTTTGAATGTTAAAATTTTCGGAAAATGTTTCTTTTTTATATATCTACAAGTGTGCAAAATCTTATGACCGGGAGCATGGGACCCAAAAAAGTATACCCTCCTTTAGCAATTTAGTTGGGTTTCTTTAGCATTTATAGTTACTTCACAATTAATTATCAAAGTTCGAATAAATAGGCCACGTCCCAATTTTATTGTAGCGCACGGCCGGTACGCTACGTCATCGGCGCCATCTGCGGGAGAGTTAGGTTTATTTAGCCTTTGCTGTTGTTTGTGTTTTTCGAAATGTCTGCTCAAAATATCCAGTATATTGTATTGTGCTGAAATGTACAAATGCGATAATAACTACACCAAATACAGTACTTATTCATTGGTGTGCCAAAAGGAGAGAAAATACAGAAACAATGGTGTAATGCAACGAAGAGAGACAATAAAATAAAGTTCTTTCGAGAACATGTAATCGGTTTTGTTGTAAGGATTATTTTGAGATACGTTAACTTTAAATTAATTAAAGATTACTACAGTATTTTTAGTCGAACTAGTACACGTGCTTACTCACAGGGTCTGCTACTGCTAAATTTAAATGTCTTGTAACAAAAGATCTATCAAAATTCTGTTGAATAGTTAGCTTTTTTTTAAATTACTGAGGCCCTTCCTATAGGGCCTCAGTATTGCATTCGTCCAGACGAAAAAAATGTTTTACCCCTATTTTTTAAAACTTTTTTTCATGTTTCCGATCATTCAGAGTCCGAAAATACAATAAAAAATTTCGTCTGGTCGTCTGTATGTATATATGCCGGCACGATAACTCTAGAACGAAAGTTCTGATTGACTTGCGGTTTTGATTTTCTTGAATAATTACTTCTAACTTAGAACCCTATTGATTTTCAGAATTTTCGGTTCATCCTAACTACTTTAATATCAATTTTCTTAAAATCCGCCTATGCATTTCTTGTGTGACAATTATTTCTAACGTCAACATTCCTAACATTCTTAAAATTCCATAAATTTCAAACATTCTGTAACGACCTGTCAAATAACAGCTGTTGATAGTAAAGGTGAAATTTCTAAGGCGGGTTGCGACCTTCATACTTGCAACCATAGGCTATTTTTATTAGAAATTAGTCGCCAAGCCTGCCAATTTATGAAAAAGCAGTTTCTTAAAAATTACTTTTTATGGTGGTGCTAACTTAAGCGTACTACTATTTGGCCCCTAGCACAAAAACACCTTCATCAAATTTACTGGCTATCTGTCGCAACCCCATAGAGTAATTAACCGGCCATTTATTTGGCAAAAATCAGAATAATGCTTGGCTGTGCCTGTCAAGTATCAAGATGTCAACTGTGATGTGTGAATGGCTCTTAAATGTCCAATTATTTAAAAATGTATGCTTCTTTTGATATTTATTGCAAATAATTTGTAATGTATCTCAATTCAGGCTTTCCATAAATAAAGGTACAGCAAGACAGATAATATAATGTTCTTATACAAAGCACTTTTTTATTATATAAAAGAGAGGTAGGATATAAAGTTGGTTTTTTATTGATAATTTTAATTATACGAGTTTGGATTACATATTTAATCAGCGAATTGTAAATAATTAGTAAACTCCTAGTCATAAATTTCCTCAATTCATAAAATTTAAAAATGAATAGTCTTACCTTGGGATTTTAATGACGTAATGTGATCAACCCATTTTAAATTTTGATCAATTATGATACCGAGGTATTTTGTTGTGTTTTCTATGTTAATAATTATAAAGTTGTCATTTATTTGTATGTTGAAAGAAGGCCTTTATAAATTACATTGCTCTCTATGGATCTACTTTAACACAAAAATAGTTTTGTGGCTATAAGTTACTATAATCTATCGTCGAAAAAATATTAATAATTTAAACATAGTAAGTAGTATTAATATAACATCAAGTAATTTTTAAAATAAAGTACTTGATCTTAAAACAGAAATAATTTATAATAAATGCGGGTAAAACGAGGGGTAAAAATAACAATAAATTAAGGGAAATACTTAAAAAAGGGCAGGTTTAAAGAGTATTATCACAAGAAAGTATATCCGTTCTGTTTATTTCTCAAGTATTGTTTGAGGTTACTTTTGAATACATTTATTATGGTTTTTTAATTTCTGTAGGCAGTCTATTACATTTTTGAAAACCTTTAATAAAAATTGTATTTTGGGAACTTTTAATGATGGCTTGCCGTATATGAAAGTCAGATTGGCTTCTTGTATTATAGTTGTGATATTGCGAATTATATTGAGTTTTTTCTAATAGATCTGATGCGATGGTACTATGTCATTTTTATTTTATAAATAAATATCAGTCATGTACTAAACATAATTCTGAACTGAAAGCCCATTTATTTCTTTTAACATAGTTGCAATACTCATCATTCTGTCCTTTATTAATATTATATAAATGCCAATGCTTCACAAACCAAAAAATTCAACATCCTAATACTACCATCGGCTTTCGATCTTTCGTTCCAAGTTAAATCATTTCTCGTTTTTGTTACGCTACGAGTTTACCCTTGTGGGCCTCAGTCTCGATAAGGTGGGAACCACCATTTTAGCGTCTCTCGAATTATTTTAAAAATCCGAACCAGGATTAATTTTCTAAGCACATCTGCAATGGTTGCAAACCTTGAACGCTGATCATACTTGGACAGATTGTTGACAAAAATATTTAAAATCGTTATCAAATATAAACAAAACTAACTGATCAGTGTGATTACAAATAATATTAATATTGTAAAACGTCACTTGAGTGGTTAAAATTGTTTCTAAGACTAACACGACCAAAGATGGGTTTCAATTGAAAAAGCACTGAATTACCTTGTTGCGTAAACTTTTTTTCGGCGGAAAATCGAACGCGCCCACTGCCGGATCGAGTTTTTTTAGTTCCGTGTGAAAGGTGTAAAATTGGGCGTACCGCCTATATACGTTCCATTCGTCTTTTCCAGCCCGCATGAATATTTGGTAAATGTGATATGAGGTAGAGCCAGTTCCTTCAATGAATAAGAAAAAAAAACACATCTTAGAGCTACTTTAAATTCGTATTGCACGTCTGCACACTACCATACTTTCGATCAGCTTACCTTTTAAGAACGCAGACGGTATCCAAATTTGGACATTACCAGACATTCCATCGTTACGCAAATCCAACGTTGGATTCATAGCTCTTAGAGATTCTAATTCGTTCTGTAATGTTTCAAGCATCAGTTCTTTTTTACAAAGATTTTCTTGAAGCATCACGTTGAAGTCCATCAGTTCGGCATGCATTTCAGCAACCTTAAAACGATTTTAATCTTAACGAAACAATGTTTGTAGAAGAATAATACCCTTTACCTGAACTAACTTTCTTTCGAACATCGTGGCCTCCATTTTGTAATTAGGTGAATGCTCGATGTCCAAATCTTCAAGGATGCCGTCGACTTCTTTGTCGTCTTTCAGCATTTGAATGGCGCTTATGTACCTTTCGAGTTGTTCCTTTAACGTTTCGTTTTCTTTAAGTAAAAAGTTTATTTTCTCTTGTTTTTTGTCTAATTCGTCTTTGTTTTTGCTTTCGATCGTACCGAGCATCGCGCTAATATCAGTAGGGGTCTACAAAAGATGATTATAAAATTAGCTATAATCAAATATAATAAAAATAATAATATAATGTATTTCCAAAAAATATAAATACATGTTAATAATATAATAAATTGAATACATTTTTATGCTCAATAACTTTTTTCGAGAATAATTTAGAAAAAAAACAATATAAACGAAAATAAAATTCTCAAAATCAGTACCGCACAAAAAGTTTCTGCTCGAGAGCCATCTTCAAGTTCAAAACATAGTAAAACATTTAAGCTTGTATAACATACCTTAAAAAAATAGAAAATTAGAGCAATTAGAGAAACGGTACGTTTTGGTCCCCGGAAGGACTGAAAAAGAGGAGGAAAAACTTTTTTTTTCGACGACCACTACAGTAAATCACATATTCAGAATTGTTTTTTAAGTGTCAAAGTAGGAAAATTCCGTACACATTCATAATTAGTATGGAAATATTATTCCACACGGTAATTCCACACTGTTTAGTGAATCGAATAAATTGTCGTATAACCTTTAGTACAAATGAAAAAACACAATACCTATTTAACTAAATAATTCGTCCAAATACTAAAAAATTTAGTTTAGACAAAAACGTAAAATGAATTATAACTTCTGTAATGTTGGTTGCCTATATATAAAAGAGAACACAAAAAAATTGAAATCAAGTTAGCCGATTTAAGATGTTGACATTTTAAATATATTTAATTTATTTAGATATTTTTGAAAATTACAAATAATAAAATGGACAGTAGTGATAATAATATTCCACCACATATTAAAGTAATAGCAAAACATGGGCGAAAAAAATACAACTTAGCCGTATTCACGATTTATGGATTGGCGCCAACAAAATAAATATTTTAATGGCTTATTTTGGGGAACTATCGAAGCCTCTACATTATGATCAATTTACTCGATGTTTAATAAAAAAATGGAAAAATCACAACTGGGTAGGTATGCTACAAATTCCTAATGTACGATAGGTATATATAACAAAAAAATAAGTGAATAAATTAAATTCAGATTATTAAAGAAAAGAAAATATGTTACAAATTTAAAAATTGATAACAATAATACATATTTACCACCTCTTAATATTTCTAATTTTAAATCGTTAATAAAGTTCATCAAATTATTTTTAAAAATGTGTAATTTGGGTTTTAGTCATTGTGGTCGTAGAAAAAGTATAGTGTGCCACTTGTGCAGAAAACCTATTCCACACTCGTGTGATTGTGACACTCGCATTCGCTTGTGCCACAAGTTTCACACATCGTGTGGGATTGGTTACTTTCTCCACTTGTTGCACAATATACTGTTTATTTTCACCTTTTCTAAAACATGTTATTTTTCACAAAACTTTTTGCTTGTTTCAATACTAATAATAACAAAAGTTGAATATCTCTTTGCTTTATAGACCGTCAGATAGTGACTGATTTAGGTGCCCCATTTTCGCATACAAGCCTCGAAGAGGGTTGAAAAGTACATCGATTTTGAGTAGAATGAAAGGAAATTTACGAATGGCCCCTGGGGATAACATATGGAAAATTCAATTTTCCCTAACAGAAATAAAAGGTGTTTTTTGCTCATTTTTCCACGCAACCCGTTTTCACTATATGATTAATTAATAGAACTTGGCTTCGAAAAACCAAAGGCTTTAATGTTGCAAGTGGCTAAACGGTTGAAATAAGGGCGAAATCTTGTAAAGAAAAATCGATATTTTAACCGATTAATCCACACAAGCCAATCGAGAGTATAAAAACATACGTCGTAACTAGCCCGAAAAACATATTGGCTTGAGTGGCGCGAGTGGATAAGTACATTTTGAGGTTGGAAAATTTAACGGAATTTTTTTTTTTCGATTTTTCAGTTATTTTCCCATCAACGAAATTTTTTGCAATAAAAACTTATGAAAATAAGAGCCCAGAAAAAAATAATGGCTTGAGTGCAGAGCGTGGTCTTCATATTTTCAGAACATAGGAAAGTTGCTGGAAAAATGTATGCAAATTGCCACAATTTTCCGACATAAGTCGTTTTACATGTGCTTAGAAAAAATGATTCTAAGACTATATAACAAAAGGCTTGAGTATCGGACATGTAGCATATTAGGTTTGTTCCCAATTAGATGTTGCGATTAGTTTGCAATTAGTACTTGAATTGACCTAAGCGCATGTCATACATGAACTACGTTACAAATTAGTAAAAAGTTTTGTTCTATTGGGAACGCTTATAATGGAAATTGTCATGAATGACATTAGAGGTTGGGTAAATTGTCCGCTGGATATAGCCCCCGAAAAAAAGAAGGCCTACATAAATAGTTTTCGTTTTTTTTTTTCTGGGCTCTCCATACATTACAAAAAACTCGTCTTCTTCATAATCACTCGAATCTCTACTTGACGGAATACTGTCTTCGTCGCTCATTTTTATATAAATACCAACAATAACAATAATAATTATCTCTACACGAGTATTATTAGTCGCCAAATGATCAATTAGGCATTCCAACGACCTGTCCAAATGGCTACCAGTGGGTACTGACAGTTTAGATATGGCAACCCTGTTGTCATGTTGTCATTAACAGGGTCAATGATACATATATGTTATATACATTGCTCAAAGCTGGTCGTTTGCGAGCATCCATATTGCCTGGCAAATATTTATTAATTTGAATCAGTTTAGCAAAAATGTGTTTTAAAACCAATTTTCAGACTTTAGATATTTAAAAAATAATAATTGCTTATATTTTTACTTCAAGGCATAAGCTTATGTTTATTTTAAAAAATAGGGATGATCAATCTATGTAACTATCTATTTCACTCACCTTGTCAAATCACCAGGCCTACAGAAGGCGAGTTCGGTCAGTCAGGGGCTGGAGCGGGACAAATTTTAGGGTGCTTTTAAATGACATTTAAGCCTGTTAAACTGTCACTAATCGGACTAAACCGAACGCTAAAAGAGTCGTTTGGAGTTAAAAGTGTTAAAGGAGTTAAAGGAACGTGGCAAACCGAACGCAATGAGAGTTGCCATAACTTTGCCACATCATAACCTGTCAAAACCCACTGGTAGTCATTCAGTTTGGAATGCCTAATAAAAAGTTGGGTTAAGTTTACCGAATGTAGATGGAGATCGTTTTGAGCATTCGTTAACTTTTCGTACATGCTTTTTAGCAAGGACTGTTTTGATCATCCGCAAACTAATTAATGTACTAGTTTGTGTTCATTGGGAACAGCCAACCCATCGCGCATGTACTATTCTACAAGTGATTGGGAACACTTTTATGCTATTGCGCAATTGCAAACTATTCTCGTACAATCCAAACTGCGATTGGGAACAAATCTATTATTTATCTAAAAAAGAACTGACAAAAAAATTTACAAATAAATATTTATGCAGGGTTATTATTATTTATTGTTCGGTGATTATTCGTATAGTAAATTTTAATATAAATTTAGTGCTGAATGAACAATATGTTTATTTTATAAAAAAATTTATATATTCTTTCATAGGGCTATTAAATATAAACTTTAAAAAACCTGTTAAGGGTCGATCTTTTAACATCTGAGTAAAGTTACATGTAGGTTTACTTGACAGATTAACATACAATATTCCTATACTTTATTCAGCAAGTAGTTACTTTCAACTTTACTCAGAGGTGAAAAGACTTGGCCCTATTAACAGATTCGTTACAAAGATATGTTGGTCCATTTTTGAATTTTTATAAAATTAATGTATGTATAAAATAAAAATGCAGCTACTAAACATGAAAAAGTAGATATTCTAGAATTTAATGATGACAATCAAGTATTCTATGGAATAGACACTTCGTGAAACCCACATACTTTGATTTCTTTTACTATACGGAGAATGGTCGCACTGCGCAGCTTTCTGAGTGCCTTTTAAAAGGAGATAGAAAACTCCGCCATTTTGAACCCTTATTACGTGTTGCCTACATCTTGGCGCAATATTTTCAATATTTTGCTTGCTGCTGTCAGTGAATATTATTTTTGGAGTCCCAGTTTATTGCTAAAGAATTAGTTAGCTTACTCGGACCAGGTGGGTGAGGTTTTTCCGGGTTTTCCTCACCTGTAAGTCAAATGGCACCATCAATCATCTTTAAGTCGCCCCGGAGCGCCACGGCAAATAATAATAATAGGCGTCCCTTCCCCTACACAAGTCGTTCAGTCGACTTCAGGGGTTGAAATTCACTCGTAAGGGGGTGAATTAGGGAGAGTATTATTATTATTATTATAGTTGAAAGTTCCAAAATAACATCCACTCCAGGGATACAAATTCAGGATACGCATAAGACTGCTGTTTTATTATAGGCGGTTGTCATATATTGTATTATCCGAGTTGCGCAGTGTATAAACTGGAACATTGAGATCAAAAGTGCCGACGCAGAGTGAGCGATCTGATTCTTTAGCTATAAACTGTGGCATAGGAATCAAAATGGCCGCGACCTATGTTGGGCGTGTCGGACCTCTCTCTTGCACCGTATAGTATGTTGATGTTCCTATGATATTATGTGACATTATTTCAAATTATACAACACGTTATTGGATTAAATAATTATTGTGCGTTATTTTTTTGGTTAAAATTGAAGTGCGCTAGTTCAGTGTGATGTCATTTTGGTTCCACTGACATTTAATTCTAACCAAAATTTTAACAAAACCATCAATAAATTTGACATATACGTTTTTACTGTTTTTATTTTATTTCAAAATATTGTTTACAGGTCATAAAAATAGTTTAAAGGCATGTAATTGGTAACTAAACGATTGTATATTTGATACATGCTATCTACTTACTTTAGGAATATATTTATAAAAGTGAAAAAAACGATATAATTTAAGTAAACAAAATGAACAAAACGCACTCAAAAAATCTACTGTCACTTTAATTGTCAGTGGAACCATAATTACATCATCACTGAACTAGCGCGTTATCCAACAGGTTGTTGTGTTCATTACATTAGTTATTTTTCTTCAAATTAAATAATTGGTAAGTACTATGATATACATTTATTTAGTTAATCAAATAAAATATTTGAATTTTTACAATCATTTAAAAGGGCGTTAAGTTAATAAACATTTAAAATGTATAAGTCGTTGAAATAGTCCGGCCACGGGACAACTCTTATAATAAAATTGATATAAAATAATCTTGATAATTGATATTTAGATAATTCATGGTGATATTTAGGTTTTGATATTTAGGTTTTTAGTTTAATTTTTTTTACATGGCGAATTCCAACAATATTCCATTAATTTATAGAATAAATACTTATAGATAATTTACAGTTATTTGGGAGCAGCATGGTTGAAAATGCAGGAAAAACGAACACGAGGAGCTGTTTTATTTGCAAACAATCCACCCACGAGAATATTATATTATTTGACCGTGAATGTTTATCAAAATTTAAGAAAAATATGGAATGTCGAAACTTCTACAAATAGAAGTATATCGTAAAATCACTTTGTATATAATTTAATTTGTAAAATTATTAATAGAATTAACTAAATTCATTACCATTATTTTTTAAATAAATTGTATATTTTTTATATGAAAACCATAATATGAAGACCCATCTCCTGCGCATTATTTTCATAACATAAAAGGTTATTATACTTATACGAGAAGGAAATATACGCTAAATTATTTATTTAAAATAATAATCCTGCATAAACATCTCTACGTTTTTTGACAGATCTATTTTAAATAAATAATATGTTCCATTTTCGACACTTATGCCTTTCATTATAGGGTCTTATAATCACTATGCCAAACGGAAAATGGTGAATATTTCTAGATTTTCTTATCAGCTTTTTGTTAAATAAATTATGTATAATTAATATGATAATCATGTCCGACACTCAAGCCATTTGTTATATAGTCTTGGAATCACTTTTTCCAAGCATATGCCAAACGGATTGTGTAAGAAAATGGAAATTTATAAACTCTTTTTGTCAGTTTTTTGTTAAATAAATTACATATAATTAATATGATGACCATGTCCGACACTCAAACCTTTTGTTATATAGTCTTAGAATCACTTTTTCTAAGCATATGCCAAACGGCTAGCGTGGGAAAATGGTGGCATTTTCCATACAATTTTCCTGCAACTTTCCGACGCAAGCCTTCGTATCGTCCACATCCAATACTCATGCCAATTGTATTATTACGTTTAACACATTAATAACATTCTATGGTTAAAAAGGCTTGCATGAAAAAACTCAAAAATCAAAAAATTTTGCGGTAATTTTTCCGACTCCAAAATGCAACTATCCATTCGCTCCATTCAAGCCAATATGTTTTCCGGGCTAGTGACGATGTAGGTATTCATACTTTCGACGGGCTTGTGTGGAAAAATCAGTCAAAATATAGATTTTTCTTTACAAGATTACGCCCTTATTTCAACCCTTTAGCCACTGGCAACATTAAAGCCTTTGGTTTTCCAAAGCCTAGTTCTATTAATTAATCATATAGTGAAAACATCTTGCGTGGAAAAATGAGCAAAAAAACACCTTTTATTTCTGTTAACGAAAATAGAATTTTTCATATGTTATCCCCAGGGGCCATTCGTAAATTTCCTTTCGTTCTACTCGAAATCGATGTACTTTTCAACCCTCTTCGAGGCTTGTATGCGAAAATGGGGCACCTAAATCAGTCACTATCTGACGATCTATTAGTGAAATAATGACTAAATAAAAAAAATATTTTTACTACTACTAACCTCTAATATTTCACCAGAAATATCCAACGTTTCGAAAACTTGACCAATCTCGACAGATACTGGTGTGATTTCACCGATTTCTTCCTGCAGTATCGGCGTCAAGCAATCAGCTACAACCGTAGCGTTATTTTCTTTAGCTTCACTAGTTTCTAAAGTTAAAGGTTTAGTAACGTCAGAATCTTTTTTCTCCACGTAGCTCTCCATTTCACTGTACAAATGGTTTGTTTCTTTGTTTATAACTGGATCGTAACACTGTTTGGGTTTATACCTGTCTAAAATTCTATTTTGAGAATCGGTGCTGCTCAAACTAGACGGTACGCTTGTTGAAGTGTCGCTGGCATCGTCATCGAAAGATATGAACTGTCGAGCGACTTTTTTGTTACGTTTTGCTTTAGAAATTCCTTTGTTTGTATCTAAAAAGATGTTAGTTAGATATCATTCGCTTGATCTAAAAGTGAAATTTACCTCTTATTGGCGCTTCTATAATAGGTTCCGTTTTGGAGGAGTAAATATCTCGTCTGTGACTTACACCACTATTGAGTTCTGGTTTGTCGATACTAATAGCAAATAGTATACAATTTAATCCTAAAAATACGTACTATTAAGACAAAATTAAGCGAAAAGCCTTGAGAGCAAACCGGATCTCTCGCGAAAAGCAAAAATGTGAGGATTTTCTAATATAAAATTGTATTTATATACGCGCCACTGGATGACTTCACTATATTGTGTGTCTCGAGAATATTGTGAGCTTTAAATTAGTAGCATTAAAGTAGCATTCTACAGACATTTAAGAAAAAACTACTAGATATTTAATAGATTTAATACAAAATGGCGCGTGTCTTTTGTTAGGTAAGATAAATCTTAAATCATTTATTTGACGTTTAAGAATAAAAAGAATATGGAATTAATGTTTGTGGTTTCACAGTTGACAAGCAAGACTATCTATTGAAATTAGTACAGGTACCCGTACCGCAGTGTATAAAATACGCTCCATAACAAATGCATTGTATATTCAAAGGACTAAAATTGAATCAAAATACTAAAAATAAAATACGGCCCTCAGCTGAAATAAATTATCAAGTAAAATCAAAACCGAAAGTCGATTGAAGCTTTCGCACAGACGACTAGATGATATTTTTTGCGTGTTGGACTTAAATTTGTATCTTATTCCCCTGGAAAAAATTATGGCAACGCCCATGTAGCATACCCTTATAATTACGTTTAGTTCTTACCTGCTGCCATATTTGGCAACATGCTATTTTTTTCTTCATCTCGAAGTATCGACCATGGTTCATAATATTCGGCTAAAATTTCTTGATTACCTAATAAAGTGTGAAAGTACCTGCAAATTGTTATAAAAAAATGTTAAATTTAATTTATATTACAAACAATACAAAATAAATATAAAATTAATGTACTTATACATATAATAATATTTTGAAACAAATCTCAGAGTATTATGACTAATGTTTTAAAACTGATATACAGTTTCAAAAGTAATACAACTTCTGAAAGTGCTTTCCAATTTTTTGTTAGTTACTTTTCCATTTCTATTTTATTTTCCCCCTTCTATTTATCTATTATCTGATTGATCCTACTAACGCTTTTATTAGAGCATTGTGGTTTTAAATGCGATTATAAGCAGGTGAACGCCTACGAGATTATAGAGGACAACCGCGAGCAAAACTAATACACAAATACTGTTTAAATTTCATAATATACATTGCTCAATTTAAACATATGATTCCCAGGCCGGGCCTTTGCATAAGACAACACCTGCATTCAAGCTCGCTTAGCAACAAGACACATTCAAACACAAAAATATTTCATCCATTAAGTAAGAAATGTCATCTTGCTCCAACACAATACAATTTATTTGTTTATAGTACGCTACAGATACATAAAGTTCTAAATGGTACATTTAAAATATCAATTAAAATAAAAAAAAAAATTAATAAAATTGTCACAGTATAAAAATGAAGTCAATAGTGTAATGAAAGTTGACGTTTTAAAGAAAACAAACCTGAATTAAAGATGTCCTAATTTGAAAAATACTTATTGTAATTGGACATCAGTCGGTCTACAAATAAATTCTGTCCATAGTTAGTTCTATGAGTATTTACATAAAATAGTTTAATCTGCCTAGTAAGGCTGGCAGGATCAAGAAATCTAATAAAATGTGCTAGGCTGTCACTATCAATCAAACCGTTCAATAACTTATACCGGAAAACAAGCAATGCTTCTCGACGTCTCCATTCCAAATTCTTCAGTCCGCACAACAGAATTCTGGTTTGGTAATCTATATTTTGCGATGGAAGCCTATGTTTATATAGTAGATACTTCGAAAATTTGATCTGTTTAAACGATTGGACTACGTTTGTGGACAATAAAGAGCCTGTCGATGTCGTATATCTTGATTTCGCTAAAGCCTTTGATCGTGTTCCCAAAAAGAGATTGCTTTATAAGTTGGAAAAAGCTGGCATTCGCGGCTCTTTACTTCTCTGGATAAGTGATTTTTTGTCAAATCGCATCTTCAAGGTAAAAGTTGGACAGAAGTTCTCGTTAGAGTATCCAGTTCTAAGTGGTGTCCCTCAAGGCTCTGTCATAGGGCCATTACTATTCCTGGTATACGCTGCAGATCTAGGCAAAGACTTAAATTCTAATATTTCGTGTTATGCTGATGACACTAAGCTATACTCTAATCCTGTGACATATTCTACCCAGCTACAAAAAGACCTTGAAAATATTTCAAACTGGTGTCACACCTGGCTGCTACCTTTAAACGCGAAAAAATGTGTCGTCCTGCATATAGGAAAAAATAACCCGTGCGTGAACTAATATTTAAACGGTAGTGCATTAGCAACTGTGAACTCCTATAACGACCTGGGACTCATTGTGAACTCTTCATTAACGTGGCCAGAGCACATGTCAGCGGTATGTAAACGTTCGAGCTCAATGCTCTACCTATTAAAAAAGTCCTTCACGCGTGTGAACTTTCAAACATTTTCTAAACTTTATACAACTTACGTTAGACCGTTGATGGAATATGTCGGACCTGTGTGGTGTCCTGATCTGGTTTCTGATCAAAAAAGATTGGAAAATATTCAACGCTACGCTACTCGAATACCTTTCGGCAGAATCAGACCATCGTATGAAGAACGGCTTAACATGGCGAATTTGTGTTCATTTTCCCACAGAAGATTAAGAGGTGATTTAATTGTGACCTACAGAATTCTTCATGGTACTTTTTCATCCAACCTCTATAGTATACTCCCACGGAATACAGATGAGCGCCTACGTGGACATGAGTATAAGTTGAGCAAAGAAAATTTTAAAACACGTACCCGACAAAACTTTTTTTGTAATAGAGTTTTCTATACTTGGAATAATTTACCCTCGAGTGTTGTTCGCGCACAGTTAGTAAATGTATTCAAAAACCGACTCGATGACTTTTTTAAGGAAAACTAAAAGTTTCTTTTTAGTGCTTTGTTTGCATTATATTTTTTGTTAATTACTTATTTAATAATTGTCTTTGTTATTAAACTTGCTTAATAGGATTCATTCCTCAGCCCTAATTTATTTGTAATAATAATAATAATAATTGTAGTTAGGTGCCCAAATCACTGAGCAGTCTTCTAAAATGCTTCTAACTAAGCAGTTATATAATAAAAACTCCCAGGCCGGATATTTTGGTAAGTAATGGAGATATTTTAATTCTATAAAAGCCATTTTATAGACCTCTAAGAGAGCTTCAGTTGTAGAAATAAATTAATTTTAAATAGGTCAATATGTAGATGGCGCTGCGCTCAATAATTTTTTTTCGATGGGAGGATCGTTCTTATGTAGCGCATCTGATAAAACATTCATTTTTAAGCAAATTTTGTTCTATGAACTAATTCAATAAATCTAGCCATTTTTAATATACAGAGTGGGTCATTCAAAATAGTTTCATCCTGTTTTTCGGCATTAATCATTGGATTTTTAGAAAATGCTAAAACAGGTCGATTTTTATTCCAAATTAAACACATTTTTACAATACAGACATTAGTCAACTATAGTCAACCCCTCCCTTCCACTTCTCCAACCCCTTAATTTTACATAAGGAATGTACCATGTACATCATTTATAAGGTAATTTTATGGGGAAGTCAGAAATATGACAATTTATTGAGATACTTTTAATTTTAGCGCCCTCTATCGGGATAAAAAAATCTGTTACATATTATAAAGTGTGACACTTAATTTGAAAGCTTATTTAATTACTGATTCAATGCACCTTAACATTAGTATAAACATTTCCATATTGCACTTGCAACAAAATAAAGTTAGCAATAATGTTTAAAATAATGCATGACTAATTTTCAAACTATTGCAAGTGCAATATCGAGGATATTTATAATTAAGGTGCGGAGAAGTGCAAGGGAGGGGGTTGACACATGACAGATGTCTGTATTGTAAAAATGTTTTTAATTTGGAATAAAAATCGACCTGTTTTAGCATTTTTTTAAAATCCAATGATTAATACTGAAAAATAGGATGAAACTGTTTTAAGTGACCAACTCTGTATATCAAAAATGGCTAGATATATCGAATTAGTTCATAGAACAAAATCTGTTTTAAAATTTATATCTAAAATTGAAGCTCTCTTAGTGCTCTGTGAACTGACTTTTACAGAATTAAAATATCTTTATTACTTACCAAAATATCCGGCCTGGGAGTTTTTATTGGTACACCCTGTAGAGACTCTTCAGTTCTTTTTAATTTTAAGATCGATAAAGCAAGTTTCTTTATAACAAAAAAAAAAACGGGGGGGGGGTTAAAAGGTACCCAACCCCCAACTTTTTTAAAGGGGTCGCTTTAATTTTTTTCTCTTTAGAATATTGGGCCTTCAAATCTACAGCACTGGCAAAAATTTCAAAGAAAAAAAAAACGTTTTCCTGAATGTTAGTTTAACGCCCTGTAACTTTGTTGGGAGCCAGTTTTTGATATAGGTAAATATAGCTAAATCCACTTATTTTTTGTTAATCTATCTGAGGAAGAATTTATGACATAACTTTTTGAAACACCCTATATATTGGTTCAATTCAAAAACAAATTTGCCACAAAATTGTACTTATCAAATTTCAGCTTTTAAGAAACTTTTTCGACTTTGGTCATACATACCTAATTTGTATTTTATATAGATAAAATTAAATAACTTATCAATTAAAACATGCAAGACTTATTTAGAAATAAATACAACAGTATGTTCTGTGCTTTATTTAGCTATAAACAAGTTTATTTTTATTATTTTGACAAAATTATGTATAATTCCCATAAGCAGTCATGTATTTTGAACACCGTATGCAGTACCAGCGCCCATGCGGTTAATTATAGAAGCTTAATTAGCATGCGTTTTTAGGACCGTATTTTGAGTATGCCGATTCGTCTCCTTATCTCTAGTCTCAGTAACCCCAAAACACACACTTTGATTACTATACGGTGCAAGAGAGAGGTCCGACACGCCCAACATAGGGCGCGGCCATTTTGATTCCTATGCCACAGTTTATAGCTAAAGAATCAGATCAGCTCACTCTGCATCGGCACTTTTGATCTCAATGTTCCAGTTTATACACTGCGCAACTCGAATAATACAATATATGACAACCGCCTATAATAAAACAGCAGTCTTCTCCGTATCCTGAATTTGTATCCCTGGAGTGGATATTATTTTGGAACTTTCAACTGGTCCGAGTGAGCTGATTCTTTAGCAATAAACTGTGACTCCAAAAATAATATTCACTGATACTGACAGCAGCAAGCAAAATATCAGGTGCGTTTTAATCATCCGCTTCTGCTTCCGGAATTGTCGGTTTAGTCGTTTTAACCTGTCAGATTAAAACAAGAAAACCGACAATTCCGAAGCAGAAGCGGATGATTAAAACGCACCTATTAAAAATATTGCGCCAAGATGTAGGCAACACGTAATAAGGGATCAAAATGGCGGAGTTTTCTATCTCCTTTTAAAAGGCACTCAGAAAGCTGCGCAGTGCGACCATTCTCCGTATAGTAAGAGAAAATCAAAGTATGTGCCCCAAAACGATGCCACTGACATATTTGACACAACTGAGAGTTGTCTCTAAAAAAAAAAGCAATCTGAGGCAATTTCCACTAAATTTCTTGTTTTATCAAATCACGTGGGATACGAATATTTTTGAAGACTTTGTTGTTTAAAATTCTGTACTTCCTTTAGAACTAGTCAACATTCTATTAGAAATTATTTGTTACAGCAAATACATTACTTACCTATCTAAGGACCGTTCGTTTAAAGAAGATCTAATCCAAGCCCTTCCTCTACCAGTATTAGTCCAAATGTGCTTTAAAATTGTATACCGCTCTCTTTCGTGCTTTGTCAAATGGCAGTAAATAAACGACCAAAAAGCTACAAGGAAAATGTAACTTAAATAATAAATAATACTGTTTAAAGGCCGGGGTATCCATCTACGTCAAATAGTCTAAAACTCTGGTCAAATAGATTAGTTTTAGAGGATATATTCACCAGTAAAGTCCGCCACTAGACAAGACTCAATATTAACACACTGACACTAGATAGTGTAATTCAATAAAATTAGGAGTTAAAAAGAAGAATTACATTTAAATTATAATTAAAAACTGGTCCAATATGATAAATAGCTGGATTTTCAATATTTTTTAGTATTAGTTGATTTATTTTAATACAAAGCGTAACTATGAAAAATTCAATTTATGTTAGGAAAAAAGTATACGAGCCATAGGGATAGGCAATGCGAGTGCATTTCTATACTCTGTATACGACGCCAACGTCTACATCTACCACCTCTCCTAAGTTTGATATTTTCCAACTATTATCAATCATCAAGCTAAAGTTTAGTAATGCATAAACTTCGGTGGGAAGTTGTTCTCTCTAAGACAATATTTAAGTAGATTTCCCTGATTTTAGAACTAAGAATTATTTGCAAGTGACAAATAATTTATAATTCTTCAAATAACTATTGTGTAGAACTTTATTAGCTATTATGATTATGAAAAAAAAAAAATTAAGTATTCATACAAAATGCAAGAAACAATAGTAAAATTCTAAAAAATACAAAATATCTTGATTTTGTTTTGTTAAATCTATATGTTTCAAATTTATTCATTCAAACTTTTAAATATTTAAGAGCTAAAATGGTCTTTTGTCTTTTTGTTTTATATCACGATTATTATTTAAGATAAATAAATGTATAAATAAATAATCATTGTTCTATTTTGCCAGAAATGCAGAATGAATTACCAAATTATGGTAATGTTCAGCAACCCCTTAATGATCTCACCCTGTACAATAGTTCAGGAATTAATCAATTTATTGTTTTTTCTAGAATGACTTTGCCAATGGAAAATAAAACGTGCTGGTTTAAAGGGCCCCACTCACCTCGTTCTTCTCCACCGTCGGTTAAAAACGTCAGGGTAAAAATGTCACAAAAACGAAGTGGATGTGCAAAAACGTCGTTTATGCACGTCGTTCCAAAATTTCAGGCGAGGCTTGATTTTTGTCGGTTATCGTGCCAACCGTTCGAGTAAACCCGAGGTGTATGTTCTCAACAGTTTGACTGGTCGGGCTGTTATCAGTGGCAGTGACGTTCAGCATGTTTGTGTTGTTTATTATTATTTAAAACTGGTTATAATAAAAATGTCGGTTATTAGGCAGTGGAACAGAAACTTTTTATTAGAGTTTATCGAGCTTTATAGATCATTTACTTGCGTGAGGAAAGTTAAATCGGCGGAATACCATAACCGAATCAAGAAAAATAAGGCTTATGAAGCATTACTGGTGAAATACAAAGAAGTGGATGCTGATGGAACAGTTAAATCACTAAAACAAAAAATTGATTCCCTACGGGGTGCATTCCGAAAGGAATTGAAAAAGGTGAAATATTCTTTGAAATCTGGTACTGGGTCGGAGAATACGTACAAACCGCACCTCTGGTAGACGATGCAGATGGAAGTAATGCTGGAGATGCCGATGTAGAACATTCTGATGTATGTATGTTGTTACTCTTTCACGCAAAAACTACTGAATGGATTTTCATGAAATTTTACAATAATGTAGCTTATACATCAGAATAACACATAGGTAGGTTTCGGGTATTTTATGCGTCCTAGTGCCTATGGTGAAATAATAGCAGAAAACTTCAGATCCTCGTAGCTGCGGCCAGTGACCAGAAACCGCAGAGTAGCTGTTAGGCATTCGTGAGGACTGATGCATTCACGTAAATGGGCATTAGGTCTCTCAATTAACGGTGTTACTAGTTTTAACAGTTTCCGATACGTATCCTCGTCCATCTTCAAGTAATTGTGCCAATCGCCAGGCTCCAATCTTAGCTCCTCCAGTAAATTTGTATGTGACAGTGAACTGCGTTTAAGTAGCCAATCTTTAGTCCATTTTCTTCGAGATTTTCTTTTTTCGCGATTTTTTTCACTGCCAAAACCGCTGCCACTGTTAACAAGCACGTACGGTCCATCGTGATAAATTGGCGCGAAAAAAAGTGTTGTGTGTGGACATATCAGTCAACGTTCTTCCTTTCAACGTTTTTAACCGTCGGTTAAAAACGGCGGAGAAGAACGAGGTGAGTGGGGCCCTTAAAAAAAATCAACAGTTTTTATTCACCGACTTGGAACATGCAATTTGGAACAATGTATTAAAAATAAAAAAAACTTTCCTCTTCCATTTAATGCAAGAAGAATGGTGATAAATGTTGACGGTTAGAAAAGCGCTTTAAGGTCCGTATTTATAAACAGAACTTACCTGAGTCGGACTTGGGTAAGTCGTCCTTGAACTAAAATCGTAGTTCTATTACAACGTCTCTAAAGTTCTAGGTGGTTCTAGTGTTAAACTGGAATTTAGAGATGGATATTAGTAAATCTATAACTGTTATGTACATTTACGGATTTGTTACTACCCATCTCTAAATTCACGCGATATAACCGAACTTCGATTTTCGTTCAAGGACGACTTACCCAAGTCCGACTCAGCTTAGTTTTGTTTATAAATACGGACCTTAGGTCCGTTCTTACGAAATGGTGTGCTTTGTTTGAATGATGTTCACATTTCAGGCCTATAAACTTCATTATGACAGCTATACCCACACACACTTTTCAAACCTGATTTATTTGCAACTCCTGAGTGAGAGGCATCGCTTCAATAAAGAGACAAAAGACAGTATTAGAAGTTTTCACGTCTTGTGTGATTCACACCGCATCCGACTGTAGTTAGATGTTTTTAATTCGTGTTGTACGTTGACCTTGCCACCGTACATAAACAAAGAATAGTAAATCCACTCTCTGTACAGACCAGTCCAACGCCGCCAGTCGAAAGAGCATGCAATCAGCCTGCGCTCGCTGCTTAATACACCTGTATGCCAGGAAATGTGTGTGAAGAGACAAAAACGGCGGCAAGCTTGTGTGCAAAGAACTTCAAAGGCGACTGGGAGAGTGGATTTACTATTATTTGTTTATGTACGGTGACTTTGCTCTTTGCTGTCAATCGAAATCGAAATTTGGTGGCAGACTTTACTTATTTTTTTCCAACCAACCGGGATACGTAGGGACTTTACATACCCAAATAGATTTACATCCAAAAGGTGCAGGCATCTATTGGCTAGAGATAGAAATCAGTGCAAATAATTACAGACATATTCAACTGTAAATTTAGGAATGTTAGGGATTGCAAACAGGTTTGCTAGTGATGAAAAGATAAAATAGATCAGTCATACAATCCAGTTTTTAATCAAATGGGGGATATTTATCAAATAAAACAAACCTTAATTTAGTAAAATTTTGAATAAGATGACAGGGATACCCCATTCTTAAATGCATTCAGTACTACACATAAACTAAATTATTACTTACAAGAATATTCATTTCCTGTATTCAACGTATTTATTAAAATCTCTGATACTTGCTTGATGGCCGAAGAATTATGGCTGGCGCAAATTTTCGTCTTCAAACCAAAAAGTAAAACGGCCTCCAGAGTATAACAAAGACCTGCTATGCAACTGTCATATTCCGTGGCAAGTTCCGTTTTGCCGCCGAATCTCTTTTGACAGTTTTGAACGCATTCCAAAAGCTGTTTCAGCAATTTATCAGCTTCCTCAGATTGTTTTGTCGGCAATGGTTTCGTCGGGACAACAGACATCAGTTTGAGCTGGAATTAAAATAGAAAAACTGTACTTATATACATGTATATTTTTCTATGATCACTAAAGTAGGCTTAAGCGCTACGAAATATCACTTCGCGAACAGACATACAAACAATTTTTATTATAACGTATATCTCCATGGTATAAAAAATAAAAAGTAGGATATTAATAGTGTCAAAAATAGGACGGCCACGCGCATGACGTCACGCGTAGTTTGTATAGGCGCGAATTTAAAAATACTGACGAAGTGTAAGGAAAATATATGCTACTTACAGAAATTTCATGAATATTAAGGATAATATTTTAGAAATAACATGAAATATCTATGGATATTATTATGGGATAGTTAAGGAAAGAACTATGAAGGAACATAAATGCAAATACATAGAAGAAATATATTTTTGAACACTTTCTTCCTTTTTCTTTTTTAATGATTTATTTTGGTTATACAAATTTGACATCTAAAGAATAGTTTTTATAACCAGGATAATGAAAAGGCTATCTTCGCAACTCGAAATTTAGGAAATTTTTACCTAATTAGGAGTTGCAACTGGTTTCTGATTAACCTGCATTATATTACCCAAATGAATAAAAATTAAGTTTTAATGAAATATGTTTTTATATAATATAATGCAGACATTCATATAATATAATGCAAGCACAAAAAAATGTACCAAATACAAATAACTGCTACATAATAGTGGGTGCATATACAAAATTAAAATAAAATGTCACTGCATTTTTCCTGGACATATTCCTGTCATTTTTTAATTCATTCATCAAATAAAAGTCAAAATTTTCTTTTTTTTTTTTTGGCGACTTTACAATTTCACTTTTACTTATATTGCGAAATTTTTAGCCTTCACAGGGTAGAGTTTCCAGTTTAGAAGTCCCAAGTTGCGAATTAACCAATGTAAAGTTCTGATTTGATGTCCCTTTTATAATTGGAAGGTTGAAAGTGCTTGGAATACATATGAAAATTTATCTGCAGGGTCATAAGCCACTGCAAAGGCTGCTACATATCGAATTTTCATGGGATCGACGGTAATTTTTCAATGTTTTTCACTAAAACCACTCACAGAGAACAAAGTATACAACATAATATAATACAAATATCTGCTTAATATCTTATAAATCACTATAAACGACTCAGAAACTACTGCAACATGCGTCTGTCATATGATATTTATTTCGCGCCAACTCTACTAACTCTACGCATGACGCCATGACACCATGTGCGATATCCCCCCCTGGTATAACCCAATCGGGGTGGTTAAAAGTTTACACATCATAGACAGATAAATTTTTCTTGTCTTTTTTACAATAGAGTCATGTTCTTCTGTATTCAGGGAAAATGTTGAAAATAATAGAAAAACATCAAATCGACTAACATTCATTAATAATAATAACTTCATACTAATGTGATACTTTTAAATTTTAGAATATTTTTCATCATAAACAGTTTTAATTTGCTCGTTAGAGCTTGTTAACTTTTAAGTGGGTTAATTTGCATACATGAATATGGGTATTTTTATTTTTTCTCCTAAAGTTATGTCAGTGTATTAAGTGAAACAGTGTTTTTAATTATTATGTATATTTTTAGAATGGGCCAAAAGTGATTAAAATAACGCCAGAACCATAATTAAAATGACTGTAAGTTCACTGACAAAATCTATTTTTATATAACCAATCTTTATTTATTTGATATAAACTTTCAAAAGCAATGTATATGATTTTAAAACAAAAAAAAAGTATAATTTTGTTTTCTTCGCAACTGGTGACATAATAAACTTTTCGTAACCAGTTACATAATGTTCAACTTTATTATTATTAGCTTTTGCCCGAGGCTTTGCACGCGTGGTGTTTATAAATTAAAAAAATTAATGATTTTTTATTAGTCTTTATTAATTTTTAATAATTTTTATTAGTTTTTATTAAAATTTATTAATTTTTATTAATTTTCATTAATTTTCATTAATTTTTATTAATTTTTATTAATTTTTATTAATTTTTATTAATTTTTATTAATTTTTATTAATTTTTATTAATTTTTATTAATTTTTATTAATTTTTATTAATTTTTATTAATTTTTATTAATTTTTATTAATTTTTATTAATTTTTATTAATTTTTATTAATTTTTATTAATTTTTATTAATTTTTATTAATTTTTATTAATTTTTATTAATTTTTATTAATTTTTATTAATTTTTATTAATTTTTATTAATTTTTATTAATTTTTATTAATTTTTATTAATTTTTATTAATTTTTATTAATTTTTATTAATTTTTATTAATTTTTATTAATTTTTATTAATTTTTATTAATTTTTATTAATTTTTATTAATTTAATTTTTATTAATTTTTATTAATTTAATTTTTATTATTTTTTATTAATTTTTATTAATTTTTATTAATTTTTATTAACTTTTATTAATTTTTATTGATTTTTATTAATTTTTATTAATTTTAATTAATTTTAATTAATTTTAATTAATTTTAATTAATTTATATTAATTTTTATTAACTTTTATTAATTTTTATTAATTTTTATTAATTTTTATTAATTTTTATTAATTTTTATTAATTTTTATTAACTTTTATTAACTTTTATTAACTTTTATTAATTTTTATTAATTTTATTTATTATATTTATTTAATTTTTTATTTATTTTTATTAGTATCATAAAAACCCTACTACTACATAATAATAATAATAACGGGTCTTTATTTGCACAAAATAATTACATTTTTGTACAGTTAGCATGGGCGAGGTTTAGCCTGTGGCTATTCTTGCGAAAGTTTGGAGAAAGGGGGAAATAGAGGAAATAGGGAAAAGGGGAAAATAGGGAGAAGGGGAAAAGGGATGAAAGTATCGATTAAGGTGGGAACATAAAAGTTGGAATTGTAGCTACTCATATAATGACGTATTTAAAGGTTTTTGGATTTTCACATTTTAAGGAGGGGGGAATAAATAAATAAAAATAAACAAATAAAAATAAATAAAAAATTAAATAAATATAATAAATAAAATTAATAAAAGTTAATAAAAATTAATAAAAATTAATAAAAATTAATAAAAATTAATAAAAGTTAATATAAATTAATAAAAATTAATAAAAATTAATAAAAATCAATAAAAATTAATAAAAATTATAATAAAAATTAATATAAATTAATAAAAATTAATTAAAATTAATTAAAATTAATAAAAATTAATAAAAATCAATAAAAATTAATAAAAATTAATAAAAGTTAATAAAAATTAATAAAAATTAATAAAAATTAATAAAAAATAATAAAAATTAAATTAATAAAAATTAATAAAAATTAATGAAAATTAATGAAAATTAATAAAAATTAATAAATTTTAATAAAAACTAGTAGAGTATGTCCGCGCTTTATCGTATAAATAAAGTTTTCTTTTTTCTAGCGTCGCTAATTTTTCTTTTGTACATAGAGGAATAAACAAATGTGAAGTTAGCGTGAAAATAAAGTAACCGAATATTTAATTAACGTAAACACGTGTCAAATGTTTTTAAATTAAATAAATATAATTAGAGTTATAATTAATTAATTAGAATTATTTATTTTATTTCAAACTACCGCCTCATTCTCTTATGCCATTTTGGTACTTATGGAACACTAGCGCCCTCTTAAAATACTCTGTTTAACACAGTACGCTTGTTATACATGGAGTGCGTGCTCCTTGTGTAGTCTCCATGAGCTGCAATTTCAATTTTCAAGTTCCTATACTTAAAAAGGCAAAAGTCTTCACCTTACACCATCTATTAGGAATTCATTGAACTAACCAATAAATACACAATATTTAGGCATTCCATACAAATGAAACGAGGTGCTAAGGTTTGGTATGTTTAAAGGGTTGCGACATACGATGTAGTCTATCTGCATTATATGAAATCATAAATAATGGATGAAATTTAAATATTTTATGTTGAACACAATGAAAATATTAAAAAAAAAACCGCTTATACATTTTCTATAAAGTGGCAGACTCGGCGACTATTATTTCAAATAAAAATAGCGTCCAAGATGGAAGGCTATGTCACAACCCCTTTAAATTTACTAACTCTTCCCGCTGTCAGATATTGTTTGACAGGTCGTTGGAATGCCTAATTGTCGTATAATAAACATTTAATTTGCAATAACAAATATTAAGGTCAATAATTGAGATAAAAACTATCCCATCTTTTAAATTGGACCAAATTACAGATAGTTCCCAAATTTTATCAAAATCCGTTCAGTAGTTTTGGAGTTTATCGCCAACATACATCGTGACACGAAATTTTTATATATATAGATTATTAGGACTAGTGAATTTTTAAGCAACTGCTAAATTTTTTTACTTTTTAATACAATAAGACATCTAAAAATTACCTTCTGATGGAAAATATGATTGGCTTAATAGATTGAAACTCTTAAAATAAAAAAATAGTAGTAGGTGTTTATAATTCTCAGTGCAGGCCAACTAGCAGCTGTTCTACTGTACTGAGTACCAACATACAACAAACAGAATAAAAAAATTAGTTACCTACCTACATGAAAATCCACATTGTATTGCCGTCATAAGAAATAGGCGCGTAAAGCACAAATGAGCGAAACTGAAAAATACTAACGTATATATTTAAAAAGTCGTAAAATATTAATTTTAGAACTCGATTGTAAAAATTTGATTGCTTGCACACCACTTAGAAATACTTTGTTATCTAATCATAGTATATGTACGATTTTCTTTCAGGAACATACATTTTTGGAAATACGGCAAAATGGCTATACTAATGAAAACACTAGAGATGAACAAGGTATTTTTTGCAGATATGCAATCTTTATTATTTCCTTGTGAGTAAAACACTAGAATGTATTTTTAATTGCATCAATTGAAGATAGATTAAAATGTGCTGGTTTCGTGTAGGGATATGAAAATTAAGAAATGCGATTTATTTTAGAAATCTTTATTCATTAAAACGTTCACAATAATTGAAAATAACAAAACAATGACAAAACATTACAAGTTATTTGTTAGAATTTCTTGCCAAAATATTTTTCTATTTTCTGGCATAAAAGGTGCTAAATTTTTTAATATTCATGCCTTGGTATCTGCATCGATACCTTGTGGTTCTCCTCTATTTGATGGTTACATAAGGTGCATTTTCTTTTTGTATTTCTCCTGTAAAGTGTCCACTTCGTAAAAAGTATTGTTTTGGAATGTCTTATACTTCATTGTCATGTGGTTTCTCCTAAAAATAACATGTGATATGTCTTTAAAGTATGGTCTAGGATCGAGTTTGTTAATTTTAGTAAGTGATGTGCAGTTTTTCCAATCACTTATTTCGGTTATTTCCAGCGGTCTTGCAACAGTGCGTTTATTTTAGAATTTCCAATGGCTTCGATAAAGTCATTAAAATCATAGGTTTTCTTCTGGGGGTCGATTCTCGACTTGTAGGAACCTTTTCCTATAGGAATTTGTGACACTTTCCTATATGTAGGAAAATGTCATAAATTTTCGATGTATATAAAAATGTCAAAAATTTCTATAGGAAAAAATTCCTACGAGTCCAGAATCGACCCCCTGGTGTTTCAACGACTATTGAACCTGGTGATGGAAGTTATCAGCAGACATAAAACTGTGGCCTGGTTCAAAATATTTCATGTGAAGCTCCTCCTTAGATAAGAGAAAAATACCCAATTTTTAGCCTGACCAGTGCAGTTATCGTTCCATATTATAAAAGATTGGGCATCTCTATAATTTAGCAGGAGCACATGAAAGACACTAAAGATTTCTTCTTGCTTACCACCAGCTATGCCTTGATGTCACAATGTCGCAAAATATTTCTGGAATGATTCCTTTCCTAATCTAACAAAACTTTCATTGTAAGCTATACCCTCTTGGTGAAAAGAACTGTTTTAAAGCTGTCTTACATTATGACCTTTTGTAGGTTTGCTGATACAATAACTTATGTTGCAGGCTTATTATTATTGTTTATGTTTGTTTATAATAGAATATTTCACAACAGCACTGATTTATATCAAAGAGGTCGACTGTCACCAACTTAATGTGTTTCACTCAGAGAGTATGCAATGCACTCAATGAACAACTAGAAGTACATACAATATATACAGACTTCTCAAAGGCCTTCGATAGGTTAGATCACAGTATTCTTTTGCAGAAATTATATAATCTTGGTTTCGATTCCCATATCCTCGACTTTTTTAAGTCATATTTAACTGCTCGCTCACTTTATGTTGAATATAACGGTCACAAATCAAACTTTTTTGTTGCTACCAATAGAGCATCTCAAGGAAACTATATGGATCCATTATTATTTTCACTTTTAATTAATGACATAGCCAAAGAGTTTAATAAGGATATTTAATATTTGTCGATGATTTATTTGTTTATTTGTGCCATAAATTCAAAAGACTTACAAAATGATTTAAATAAATTAAATAATTGGTGTATTACAAATAAATTGCCTCTTAACATTCAAAAATGCAAGTTCGTGAGATTTTCAAACAAATAATTGAATAACATCCAGTTTGACTACTGAATACAGAATAAACCATTTGAGGAAGTGGAGACAATAAAGGATTTGGGAGTCGAATTTGATAAGAAGTTAAGTTTTTTACCTCATTTATTTAACATTACCTAAGAGAATGCTTGGGCTCATTTTGAGAAGTTGTAATGATTTCAGAAATATATACCTACTGTTTAATTGTATTATTCAACTCATTTGTAAGATCACGTCTTGGATGTGCGGCACTGATATGGTCACCCATGTATATCTCCCATAAGTTACTTATTGACTCTATCGTAGATTTATGAAATATGTTGCATTTAAAATTGATGGGATTTATCCGGAAAGGGGAATTGAATGCTGTTCTATTGGGTAAATTATCTTTAATATCTCTAGAAGACAGGAGAGTACTGCAGGGCATAACTTTATAAACTAGTTAATCATTTATTGGACTGTCCAGACTTGCTATTCCTAATTTAGTGTACCACATTTCAATACAAGATATAAAATGGTATTTTACCTGCCTACACCTAAAACAAATATTTTAACAAATTCACCTATCCATACTATTTGCAACAATTTTAATAGATATGCAGCTGAATTAAATTTGGACATAAACTTTGATTCTCTTGCAAGCATTAAACGTAAAATCAATGAGTACTTACTAAGACAATATTAATAAATAGGTATAGTTTCATTCTTTCAGTAGAATTTATAGTGCCTGTATGGACAATAAAGCATTCTTTTTACAGCCTCTATTTGACAGTTTTCGCCAAATTGCTTTGTGGTGTGATATTTGTCTTTGAAATAATATTCCACACTCATTCTCTTAACCTCTTGTCTATACAAATCATATGAGCATTTAGAATGTGGATATTTGGACTTGAAATCTTGGTACATGTACACAATACTAATGTCGCTAGGAAGATACAATCTATTTGGAGTATGTTTATATCTGTAGTGTGATACTGTTTGGTTAAAAGTAAATATATATTTATGTATTTTCTATCTTGGAAACTTATTAGGATTAGGTGTTCTTTCTCGTCCATCTTTAATTTTGAAAGTATCTACAGTGTGAGATTTCTTTTTATTGTAGACACCATTGATTAACCGGTCTTTTTTGTACCCCAAAGAATGTTTTGTACACAACAATTTTGGCCTCATTATTATCTTTCAGAGAATACTCAAATGTTTGATTTTTCCTGTAAACATCATGCTCAAGAGCAGGTGTAGTCCGTTTACGTCTCTTAACAACTTTGGCTGATGTATTGTGTAAAATAAACATCTTCCTGTCTTGCTAACTCAACTTCCAGTAATATTTATTCATTTATTTTTTCTCTTCTATATTGTACAATATGTTCAGTGCATTTTTTTTTAAGTTACAATCAGAAAGCACACTTTGTTTTTATTTTTGGGCCTCTTGCTTTTTTGTTTATGCAATTCAAGTGTAGTGGTAAATAATTTTCGTTTCCTCCCAGTTTCTTTTTTTGTCAGTGTGTTGTATGTTCCAGTTTTTGTCTGCTGGATTGTCTATATTTTTCAGTAATGCCATTATTAGCCCTGACGCTGAATCAGTTACATCATTACATTCTATTACTCTATTAGAATTTTCTTGGTCAGTAGAAGTTTCTACTTGTTTTTGGATTGATAAAAATTCCTCTATCAGTCTGAAGGTTATTTTTATTGATATTTTCAGTACTGTTTGGTTGGTTTACTATGCAATCTTCTTTTTTAATAATACCAAGTCTCCTTGCATTTTCTAGGAGAATTAGGCTTGAAATGTGTTGTTCACTGTTATAGTAGTTGTAGTCTTCGCTAGTAACATTATTTACATCAATTTAGCTCAAAATTGAAGTGTTGCTTGAAATATCTAAAAATATATCACTATTTACTTTCAGATATGCATATCCCAAGTACAATGCGGAAACTTTTGGTCATTTTAATAAATCCAATAACAATGGGCATATCGTTTTCCATATTTTGATCTGTTCGATCATGAGTTAGCTCTTGGTTTTCTTTGTCATTATCATCATTATTAAGTGCTAAATCGAGAATCCTATGTCCACGTCTCATGATTTACTCTGCAAGTTAAAATATAAAGGTTATTTGTACAGTAAAATACCAAATAACTATTATTAAATTTATATTTTCAAAAGAAAACTTACATTACTTAGGTACCTACTAACTAAATTCACGAACACGTCTGCACAAGTAAAACCAAATTAATTATTTGAATAACAAGAAAAAAATCGCATATCGCCGCGCCACTACAGAGGAACTACGTATGGAAATCTGCACTACGAAAAAACCACATATAGTCCTGATTTATACTCACTTTTTTGTTAGCATTAAATACATATGTCGTTTTATTCTAAAAATAATAAACATTGCCGCTCATTTACGTGGATATGCAAAATTATAATTTTTCATACAAAGCAGTTTCTCTCTTGAAATAGACAGTTTCTTGCCACTGGTATTAATAACTCAATTGCTTTACATGCTTTTTCTTTATTACGGCAGTGTAGACACCTCATATTTACTAATATCATCAACTTAAGGAAAATCATCAAACAAATATATTGAACTTGTCTATTGTTGTTGATATTCCAAAAGAAAATCCCCCTTAAAGGAATTGTTAATAGTTAATATCAGTTAGCCAGAATCTATTTGAAATGGATTCTAATTGGGAATAATATTTTAGCAAATGTTTTAATGTCAATGAATTAAGTGATTTAGGTATACTTAATTGTTATCATTTGAGAATAATTACCCACTATCAGTACTTTATTTTTAAATGAAATAATCACTATAAAATTGTAGAAGGTACTAATACATAAACAATCTATGGTCTCTATCTGGTAAAAATTTATAAATGCATGCAGTTTTTTAAAAACAATTTTTTTCTCAAAATGAAATTATTAATTTTTACATTATAAAGCAAACATAAATCAACTCATAACTTTGATTTAAATGAGGATACACTATCAAACTATTAGATAAATACACTAAACTCTACTTGAAAAATAAAACAATAAATTTGATAACACTTGATACCATAATAATAGACAGTACATCCAACAGGCTTCATTTATAGTCATCTCATTTCACAATTTTTCCACTAATAACTACTTAGATTTTATGTTCTTTTATATTTATAAATAGTAATCATAAATAATATGAAATTTCAGATTTTCGCTTTTCCCTTGGGGATCATAACAGAACATTAGAGTTGTGTCGCTGAAGCAGTATCTGTTATTTTTGGAACGACTTTCACTTGGAACCACTGAACTCCACCTGAACTCTTTACCAGAGATAAGACATATTAGGTTCTTTCGTTCGTCCCACTGGTGTAGGAATGAGCTACACCAACGTACACTAAACCTTTCGTTCGGCCCGGTGTAAAATCCACTAAACCTTCCTGTCGGCGATGTGGTGTCCACTGGTGGATATTTTCTCCACCGGCTATTTAGCAGGAGTGAATTACACCCGAAATGTGTATAAGGAATAAGGAGGGAAGTAAACTAAGGTAAATAAGGTGGTGTAACTGGTGTAATTTACACTGGTGGACACTACACCAATAGCGAACGAAAGAACCTATTAGGTCTTTTCCTTTGCATCGAAAGTGTAGCACTGGGCTACACCAATTCTGAAAATATCGTTCCATATATACAAATTGTATGGATGGAACGATATTTTCAGAAGTGACGTAGCTCAGTGCTACACCAATTCTGAAAATATCGTTCCATATATACAAATTGTATGCATCCGATGTGGATTCTCAAACGCAGCAATAGGTCTTTCCTTTGCATCGAAAGTGTAGCATTGAGCTACATCACTTCTGAAAATATCGTTCCATCCATACAATTTGTATAAATGTGGTTTAGTCCAATGAACTGGAGTGGGGTAGAATGCTTGTCAATAGACTTGATGTGCGACTCTATGGGCGAAGATAGGTTATTTTTTATCTCACTCGGGAGTATTTAAAATGGCCAGTTTCTATTTCACATTGTTATTGTCTGATCCACCAGCTTGTGGATTGAACAATAACAATGTGAAACAGAAAATGGTTATTATAAATAGTCCCGAGTGAGATGAACAATAAAAATGGCTGCGCCCATCGAGTCGCACCTTGTTCTAATAGTACAACATGTACATTGGCATTCTACCCCCCTCCAGTTCATTGGTTTAGTCACATACTTTGATTTTCTTTTACTATACGGAGAATGGTCGCACTGCGCAGATTTCTGAGTGCCTTTTAAAAGGAGATAGAAAACTCCGCCATTTTGAACCCTTATTACGTGTTGCCTACATCTTGGCGCAATATTTTTAATAGGTGCGTTTTAATCATCTGCTTCTGCTTCGGAATTGTCGGTTTTATTGTTTTAATCTGACAGGTTAAAACGACTAAACCGACAATTCCGGAAGCAGAAGCGGATGATTAAAACGCACCTGATATTTTGCTTGCTGCTGTCAGTGTCAGTCACATACTTTGATTTTTTTTTACTATACGGAGAATGGTCGCACTGCGCAGCTTTTTGAGTGCCTTTTAAAAGGAGATAGAAAACTCCGCCATTTTGAACCTTTATTACGTGTTGCCTACATCTTGGCGCAATATTTTTAATAGGTGCGTTTTAATCATCCGCTTCTGCTTCAGAATTGTCGGTTTTCTTGTTTTAATCTGACAGGTTAAAACGACTAAACCGACAATTCCGGAAGCAGAAGCGGATGATTAAAACGCACCTGATATTTTGCTTGCTGCTGTCAGTGTCAGTGAATATTATTTTTGGAGTCACAGTTTATTGCTAAAGAATCAGTTAGCTCACTCGGACCAGTTGAAAGTTCCAAAATAACATCCACTCCAGGGATACAAATTAAGGATACGCGGAAAACTGCTGTTTTAATATAGGCGGTTGTCATATATTGTATTATCCGAGTTGCAAAGTGTATAAACTGAAACATTGAGATCCAAAGTGCCGACGCAGAGTGAGCGATCTGATTCTTTAGCTGTAAACTGTGTCACAGGGTTCAAAATGGCCGCGCCCTATGTTGGGCGTGTCGGACCTCTCTCTTGCCTCGTATAGTAATCATATGCCGCGTTTGAGAATCCACATCGGATGCATTTTTTACATCTCGAGCGTTTTTTTATCCACATCGGACACATCTACTACATCTACATCTGCGTTTGTTTATCCCAGATGTACCTGTTCAGATTACATTTTTTACATCTCGATTTGAAATGAGATGTGAATGAGATGTTCGTTCTATGCCTGAAAGTAAGTGTTCTGTGAAGTCTTGTTTGTCAATTTATCCTTTGTTATGAATATAAAAGTGATTAGATTGTTTAATTTTTGTTTATATTTCAAATTTAGGTTGATTTGTAGTCTCAAAAGTCAAATTTAATAAGTATAAACTTCTAACTTGTCATTGACATTTTATCACGTGACCAAATAAAGTCTAGAGCGTTTGTTTATTACATCTACATTCAGATCTAATTCTCTATCACGTGATAAAAAATTCACAACATCTCAGATGCATCCGATGTGGATTCTCAAACGCGGCAAAAGTATGTGGTGTCAGTCATTGCGTTCGGTCTGCCAAGTTCCTTTAACTCCTTTAACACTTTTAACTCCAAACGACCCTTTTAGCGTTAGGTTTAGTCCGATTAGTGACAGTTTAACACGCTTAAATGTCATTTACAAGCACACTAAAATTTGTCCCGCTCCAGCCCCTGACTGACCGAACTCGCCTAGTGAATATTATTTTTGAAGTCACAGTTTATTGCTAAAGAATCAGTTAGCTCACTCGGACCAGTTGAAAGTTCCAAAATAACATCCACTCCAGGGATACAAATTCAGGATACGCAGAAGACTGCTGTTTTATTAAAGGCGGTTGGCATATATTGTATTATCCGAGTTGCACAGTGTATAAACTGAAACATTGAGATCCAAAGTGCCGACGCAGAGTGAGCGATCTGATTCTTTAGCAGTAAACTGTGTCACAGGGTTCAAAATGGCCGCGCCCTATGTTGGGCGTGTCGGACCTCTCTCTTGCCTCGTATAGTAATCAAATGCTGCGTTTGAGAATCCACATCGGATGCATCTGAGATGTAAAAAATCTTTGATCACGTGATTCAGTATACGTAAATGTAATGAGACAGATGTGTCCGATGTGGATAAAAAAACGCTCGAGATGTAAAAAATGCATCCGATGTGGATTCTCAAACGCAGCAATAGTATGTTGGTTTAGTCCAATTAGTGACAGTTTACCACGCTTAAATGTCATTTAAAAGCACCTTAAAAAACACCGCTTTTGTCCCGCTCCAGCCCCTGACTATCCGAACTCGCCTATCGTGGGCGAACGAAAGAAACCTAAAACTGTCAAGTGTCAAGCCTGTCAAGTGTCAAGACTGTCAAGTGTCAAGACTGTCAAGTGTCAAGTTAAGTTTATAACTTCATATGTATTACCAGCGCAAGTATTTAAAATAAAAAAATATAAAAAAGTCCAGAAAAAATGGCTGCAGTTATTGCGGCTTCTGTAGAAGAACCTCCTACTATCAATAATTCTAATAAAACCAGTTTAGAAAAAATAGAAAGGTAGCTAAATAATTAGCAATATTTTTAACATATTCAGCAAAAACTGTTGTTTGGATAATAATAGACAATTTACTAAACTATAAATGCAAGATATTGTCTCATTTGTTGACTTTAAAACAAATTTGTTTTAGAATTAGGTAACTGTGACTATTACTTTTAGTTTCCTCAATGAATCTGCTTATAATGAAGCACTCGAAAACTCGAGCAACTATAATGCCAGACTACGCATTGAAAGAAGGCTTAGGCTTCCCTTCATCGATACCCAAACAGGCGTGGCTCAAAATCATTCTTCTTTATTTATGGACAAGAAGCAAAGGATACCAGGATTACTTCCTGGACAGATATACTCCTATCCCAGACAGAGATGGAGGAAAAAGAGGCGACAGTATCTTTCGATGAATGCAAGGGCCTTTGCTAGAGCAGCAGATCACTTACTAGATGGAACTGAAAATGACATACATGCTATTGCTCAGCTTGAAAATCCTGTTCTGCAGGATAATGATAGTAAGGACAGCCAGCTTCTCAAAGATGATGTTTCAAAGGTTTGTACTTTTATATTATAATGCTGTATACTTTAAAAACCTGTGTAACATAGTATTTTAGAAGTTCAAGTTCGGATCCTTTGGATTTCCATTGTATTAATCATTTGGGAATTATTTAATGTCTAAATCTAGTTTGAGCTCTTTTCGATTATGGAAAAACTAAATATACATACTTTTAGGTATCACTATTTTACACAAAAAACCTGAGTTCTATATCTTGTGCAAATGAATAATGACACAAATAGTTTTTAAATAAAAATATGCCTTTTTTTCATTTATTATCAATTTTACTGGAAAGGGAGTTAATATGATTGCTGGGTGGATAAAATAAAGTCAATAGTTATAAAATATTGTTAGAACAAGTAAATTAATTATTAGGAAGGAATTGCTGTACTTTTGACAATAAATAATTGGATAGTAGGATAGTAAACTTTTTGTGCAACTTGGCAACAGTGTAAAACTTAAAGTAGCATCTCTGAGCTTTGATTTGAGACAATTTGTGAATTTTTTTTTTTTAAATCAATTATTGATATTAATTTGCACAATATATGGAACTAAGATTTTTTGTTTACAATTGTGATACCTAGAAGTATGTATGGTTAGTTTTTTTCACAAGCGAAAAGAGCTCAAACTAGATAATGACAAATCAATGGCGGCTGGTGGATAAATTTTGTAGAGCTGCAGATCTGCCAAAAAATGCAAGTAATCTGCATTTCACAGAAATTATTTTAGACATTTTAAAATAGATTTTATTAATAATTTCATTAATTTTATTTTAATTATTAACTAGTGTGTGTGTACTGCACTGATTGAGCCACTGTCTGCTGATCGTCTTTTAATAATAATATTTATTAATGCCAGGAACAATATTTTACAGAAAAAAATACATATAAAATTGTATGGTATAAGTCAGAAGCCAGGATAATCTATCTGTACTAGTTTGATGACCTACAAAGTGCACACTGGGGTGACTTAAAAATGAATATAATGGTACATTTGCTAAGAAATGGGGAAACCCAGCAAAACCCATATTGCAATTGAAAACTAGTATAGATTTCTGTTGATTTCACAAAGTATTTACAAATAATAATTGCTTACAATCGCTTCGTTTACATCATCTGAGCTGTAAGGCTCAATAGAAATCAAAATTTGTTTGACCTTATTTTTGAAAGCTGATAGGCTCTTAGTATTTTTTAAAAGATTAGGAAGCATATAAAATTGCAAACATTTGTAACAGCATCCCTTTTCCAGTAGGGTAGTTCTGTGCGGCGGTAGACAAAAATTATTTCTGAACCTTGTGATGGTGGTCTGCTATATATTCCTTGAATATACTTTTATTTTTATACACGAACATAATACACTCATATGCATAACTAGCATATACTGTCAACAAATTTAGATTTTTAAAGTGACCTCTACATGATTCTGTAAGCTTTAGATTGGCCAATATTCGAATTGCTCTTTTTTGTATTACAAAGACTTCTTGACAGTGAACCTCCCCAAAAAATAATTCCATAATACATTGAGGAATAGAATAGACCATAATACACTGATATAAGATAAGAATGATGTATGACTTTTTAAACTTGTTTCAATGCAAAGCAAGCTCTGCTGAGTCTTCCACAAAGTGAATGTAGATGTTCCACCCAAATTAGATGCTCATCAGTTATTACGCTGAGAAATTTTGTTGATTTAGAATATTCTAGTAAGGTATTATATAAGTTAATATCCTCTGAATATTCATTTTTATTACGACTGTGCTTAAAAAGTATGCAATTAGTTTTAGATAAATTTACCAAACCATTTTGAAATTCTCTCTACAGCATTTGAGCGCAATGAATGTAATGTTGCTCTGGTGACATACATACTCTGGTGTCATTGTCATATGTCAAATTTGATGTCAGTTTGATTTCTAAACAAAATTTGAGTTATAAGAAATTTTAGGATATTTATAAAGTAAGCCCTGACCCGTAAAGAGAGATATGAGTCATGTCCGTAAAAACTGCACACATCCGTGAATTTTTCCAGTGCCTACTTTAGAAACTATATTTCCATTTTAATATAAATATCAGTATCCAGTGGAAATATCTAGCAAAATTGGCAGTTAAATTTTTTGAAATTCAACCTGCAACAGAGGTCCCACACTCTGAGACTTAAGAAAATTAGCTAGCTAGATTATGTATTTTAGTCAAAGCAAATCACCCTAAAATGAGTATAACTCCTATAGCAGGGTTTCAGGAAAATTATATGTGAAACTAAATGAAACAAAAAAAATATATATGCATATCTCTAGCTTGGGAAGAAAGATATCTCTTTGTAAAAAGATACATCACTCACATAAAGAGTTATTTCCGAGGTTATTTCAGGGCTCTGTATTTTAAATTTAATATCTTTAATAGTACATACTAACCACATAAAACCATATAAAAAATGCTCTGGTAAAATAAAGTATCTTCTAGTAAGTTATGATAACCTTATAAAGAAATGCCTCTTGTTTGGAAGCAGACGCCACATTCAAAAGCTAAGAAGCTTTTAAAGACGACATAAAATATTTTTTTACTACAAAAGTGAGGACCAGTCCACAGAAAATCAGTAATTAAAATTTAATTCAAAGACAATTGTTTTTTGGAATGCTTGATATCACTAATATGTAAATTAAAAATCCTTTCATTATGACGTTTTCATTTTTTTATGGAATATTGTTGAATTTGACAAGTATTCTGATCAAGAACAATTTAATTTATGTAAACAACTTAAGAAGCTTTAACTGATAAAAATCGAAACTAAAAAGACGAAAAAGAAGTGGAACTTATGTTACCATTTGCATTACATATTCTGTTAACTATAGCAATTTCTGTAGTTGTAGCAGTAGTGTAACAAGACTTCATTTCTTATCAGATGAGTTTTATGTTAAAAAATTAAAGATATATTTAATGGATTTGGTATAACTCAACATGTGAATACTTACACTAGAATTACTAATGTCAGTAAAACATTGATTGATCATGTATTGACTAATTTTGATCACATCAAAGTAAATGTCTTAGATGAACCTAAGTTAACAGACCATTCTGTAATATCTATCAAATGTTTACACTCTTAAGAGTCAATTTTGATAATAAGTGTCAGAAAATTGTATGCAGATTAACTCAAGCAAATCTGATTGACATTAATGTAGGATTTATTAGTTGTAATTTTTTGCTTGACAATATAGATGTTGATGAAATTTTTAAAAATATTAAAACAAATTGTGAAAAAATTGTAAATCAAATAACTCCTCTAAAAAGGATCACTTATTATGAAAATGACCTGCTGTGGTATGATGAGGAAGATAGAAGATTAAGTAAAGACAGGGATTCAGCATACAAACTTTTTAAACAAATATCAAGTGATATTAATTGGCAAAATTATAAACAAAAACGAAATATAGTGGTTAATGTCATCAAAGAGAAGAAACATCAGTTTTATTTTAATCAAATTGATAAAAATATACACAACACTTGTTTAATGTGGAAAACTTTAAAAAACTTATTGATCCAAAACAATTTAATAACAATTTCTTCAATGTTATTCAGTTTGAGGAGCATGATGCTTAGAAAACTATTGTAAGGGACTGTTCAAATACCATTTGAACACTCACGACATCAAACACCTCTACACATAAGAAACAGCGCCCATCTCTAACGAATAGTTATTAAAGGCAAAACGGGTAGGCTATCCACAATGCATGTCAATTTTTACAGAAACAAAGAATAGACTATTCACAATACACAAAGTAAAATGGGTTGCAAATCAAATTCAAATAAAAGTCAGTTAGTAAATGGAGAGGGAAACATGTAACAGATATTTTTAGCGGTAAAACAGACATTAGATAGCCATTAGCACTCAAGCTGGTAACATCTCAAATTTGAAAACATTCTTTAACTTTTAACAAATATGTACATTCACATTTATATATATTAACAAGTTCTTATTGTTGAAATAAACAAGTTGTGCTTATGATTGAAAGTGTTTTACTACAGTCAAGCTGCAACACCAGGTATCCTGTCCATTCCACGGAGAAGCAGTATTCATAAGGTTAGCTCAAAATTTCAATAGCTAGGCCGCCAAACTAAAGAGGCGATAAAGTAAAGTAAAAAACCCCCTCATCGCCCCGACAAGGGACAGTAATGAACTAGCTAAGTTTTAATAGGTATTTTGTTAACAGTATAGATACTATTTTATCTAGAATTGAGGATGTTGAGTTTGCTTGTTGCATTGAAAATAATGAAAATATTTTAACCGAATTTGGTTTGTTGAGTTTACACGAGTTATGTAGTATTGTGTCAAATTTTGATAGCAAGGGTTCGCAAATCGATACACTAAACAGCAAAATTATAAAAAACAGTTTTGATGTAATTGGCCATGTATGGTGTCATTTTATAAATACTTCGTTGGATAAAGCTACATTCCCTGATGATTTAAAAATAAGTACTATAACACCTATTAAAAAGGTGTCAAAATGTAATGAATTTCTGCCATGAACACCTTACCTTGTGCTATATAGATATTTATTGAAGTAGGATAAACCTAATATACAAAAAAAATATATATATTATAGAAATACAAATACAGTACACTTAAAACTTAAAGTTAATTATTATTAACATTAACATAATCTGAGTTAAGAAAAATAAATTTGTTACACATTACAAAGATACTTTTAATCTTGAGTTTAGATAGCCTTAATTAACAATAAAACAAATAACAGCATGAACCTAAATATTAAAAAAGAAGAATAAAAAAGTAATCAAATATATAAAAGTTAAAATCAAATTTTATCAGTTTTAATAAAAGTTGTCAATTTTTTTTTAAAACTTGCTAATGAATTGCCATCCTTCAAGCCCCTGGGCAGTTCATTATATTCTTGGAAACCTTTATACAATAACGATGTCTGTGATTTCGAATAATTAACTTTTTTTAATGTATATATCGTTAGTTGATCTTGTGCTGTAATCATG